TTTTTTTTTTGTTTGTTTTTTATTTTTTTTTATTTTGGGAAAATTGTTTTTTTTATGAAAGCGGTTCTTAAACAACAAATTTGTATGGGTATAATTTGTATGTGTAAATTGGCCGCATTTTGACCAATCGGGAAAATGAGATTTGTTCAAAAGTATAGTAAAGATTGTTTTATTTAGCATTGTGTGAAAAAGGATTCAGTGTATAAATTCCTTTACCCCCCCACATAAGTAGTAAACTTAACTAACTTCTGTGTTACAATCAACTCTACACCGAAGCGACGTCCGAACATTATACTCTCAGACGATTAGAAATGGTGTAATCCAAGAGTTTGGTAGATGTAACAGCATATATTTGGATGTAATTTGGCCAAAGTTATTAGCTCAGCGGCATACATCGGTTCTGAACGTTTTTCTCGAAGCGGAATATTACTGGAACTTGCTTTATCGCGCTGCTCACCCATGTGAAATGTAATATCTGTTCAATTAAACGAATTCCACTATTTGTTTTACATGAACTTTTACTTTATCATACTTGCTATGTATTTAACTATCTCACTTTTGCGTCAGTGCTTTTCGTATCAGTGGAAACTTTCAAGCAAATATGAGAAAAGCAATTGCGCTTTCGATTACTTTCAAAAGTATCAACATGCAATTCGATTTATTGTGAATGGAGTATTATGAAGAAGATGCATATAATTTTCAATTGTTGATAGATTGATTTAGACCAAGTGGAAATTTTGTTTGAAAAATAAGTGAAACCAACTTATTTCAATAAAAGAAAAAAAGAAGTTTAAAAGAACAATGCGAGAAACATTGCGTGTTTGTGGGAAAATATTAACGACAGATGACTACCATTTCTTCGCACTTTCTTGTGAAAAATGTGATGCTTCCTTCGGTCAGTGGTCAGGATTCCTTAAACATTTGCACAATAAACATGATCTTGATTTGCCGCTAATCAACACATTTATAAGGGAGGATGAGCAAAATCCAGAATGTAATGAAATAGCTACTAAAGCGACTTTAAAACAAGAAATGGAAAATGAGCTAAATAAACAAATTAAAGTTGATGCAGCCGAGTATGAAAGTAATGGGGATTTCAGCGACAGTGAACCCGATGATAATGCGAAAAAAGTAGAGTCCAATGATGAGGGTCAAGACAATGATTGTGCTAGCACTAAATCGGATGAGTCTACAGGTGCTTGGAATATGCCGGAGGACAACAAACATTTGGTTGGTCAATAAATAAAAAATTGTTAAACTCCTCACTAATTTCATGTGTTTTTTTTTTGTTTTGACAGCAGGACACATCGAGTGAAGGGGAACTATTCCAAGATTCTAAGAAAAAGCTTAAAGCGGTATTTATATTCATAATGCTAAACGATAACTTCAATTAAATTACAAACTTTACATTGCAGTTTAATTTCAATATCCACGAAGCGTATACTCGTGATATATCGAATAAATTTCTTAAAATAATAGAAAAATATCCAATATTATGGGATCAACAGCATTCGAATTATTGGTTGCCTGAAAAACGCACTCGTGTACTCTATTCGATTAAAGAATATATGGGCAAAGTGGGTTACTCAGTCAGTGATTATGGATTACGCAGTATAATTCAACGCATATTACGGGATCATAAAGCTTATAAGCAAGAACTTGCTGTTTGCGGGCGCTTAGATGAACGTAAAACGCTGTTTTTAAAGAAATGCAAATTTTTGGATGGTCCACAGAATGGTGGGGGTATTATAAATGAAGCAGAAAACGACTCAGATGATGTAAATTTGTAAATATTTATTTTTATTAAATACCGAATTATTTAATTTTTGTTTTTAGGATGACCACCCGCTTCACGATGACTTAGATGATGATGAATTTCTTTTGAGCTCCGATATCGATTCAAATGCTGGAAATAATCCCACTGAAATAAATGCATTTTTAAAAGATTCGGTATGCCATTGGTTAAAATTGTTTACATTTGTGTTTAATTTTTTATATTTACATTTTACCACAGCGTGATGGTAAACGCATCTGTTTTAATATGACTGTAAATCCACTAATTGATGAGTTCGTCAGTTTGCTGCGTGACAATCCAGTATTATGGGAAGTGGGACAATTTCAAAATTTAACCGAACGGAAACGTATTTTAGAATCATGGATACCAATTTTTCAAGAGCGTCACAATGTCATCTTTACTTATAAGGATCTTACATTGAACTTAAAGATCCTACGCAGAACACTCACAAACATGGAAGAACGCAAAGTATTGGCAAAATCTGCGCAACATCTCAAAGATATCTGCAGCTTCCTGCCTAAAGCCAAACCAATTACACGCCTCAAATGTGAAGAATGTAATCGTAATTTTCTCACAGAATACACCTTGCAAGCTCATAGATATGCCGCACATAATATTGGTACAAATCCTTTCAAATGTGAGGTGTGCGGTCGTGATTTTCAAGCACACAATCAGTTAGATACACATTTGCGTCGAGTACATCTCAAACAGTTTTCCGTTTATTGTGATGTCTGCAATCGTGGTTTCTTGCAGCACAGTGCAATGGTGCTACATCGTCAAACACACACCGGTGAGAAAATGTTCGTATGCGAGACATGTGGTAAATCGTTTAGACGGAAAATTAATATGCAACAACATTATATGCGTATACATTTGCGCCAGCGCAATTTCAATTGTGAACTTTGTCCGAAAACATTCTATTTAAAATGCCATCTACGCGATCACATGAATGCTCATCTAAATATACGCAATCATATTTGCCCCACCTGTGGCAAAGCTTTTCACAGTAGTCATGCGCTAATGCGACATAAGCAAATACATTCGGAGGTTAAGCGTTACGCTTGCAAGCTTTGTGATGCACGTTTCCATCAGTTTGTGGGTCTGAATTCACATATGAAGAATAAACATAAATTTGTAAATGACAAGGATGAGGAAGTGCAATCACAGCCTGTGGTTCATATGACAACGCTGCCCGCCAATACAACGCCAGACACTTCCATGCAAATCAAAGGTGAAATTGTGCAGTCTTTGGACAGTTGGAATATGTAAATATAAAATAATCGATTTAAGCTTATTTTAGTGCTATCTTGTCGGTTCTTTCACAATAATTAGTTTATAAATGTAATTTTTTTTTAAACTAAATTATTTTGTGTGCAAATTAACTGTCTAATGTAAACAATCGAGTCGTTGAAAACATTCAGTGAATAATAAACCAAAGTAGTTTTAAATACGATTGAGCCAACATATTTATAAATGTTTTATACCGTATAAAAATAAATTTACTATATTAGTTTTTAATAACATAAATGTTAATGCGATATTAATTATTAATGTGTAACATGTTTCTCATATTAATTGGAAACGAAAAAAATTCAGCTTATTTGCTGGTCCACTATCGAAATTAAACTATCGGGCTGGGAATGCCTTACACACTACAATAGAGGTTAACTTATAATATTTGCACAATTTAAAAAAAATGAATACATTTTAGTTATTTGCTGTCAATAAAACCTTAGAGATGTAACCATTCTTTTTCACTTCTCACTTTGACCGGTGCGAGGGTTTAAATATAATATATATATTTTACATACACAAAATTAAAATAAAGCACGTATACCTAAGCCTTTTAGAAATCTTGTCTTCAAATAGATTTTCAAACAAATTGCATACACAGAACTACATTGATTACATTAAAAAATACAATAATAATAAAGTAAGATTTAAAATAAATCTTTAAGCAAAAAGTACAACTTATTTTTGCCCAAAACTGGGCAGTGCTTTGTCGTCGAATTCAGCCAAAATAATAATTATTTTTATTTAAATCTATTTTTTGTTGTTAACACATTTGCTGCTATGTCACAAGTTTTCGAGCGACAAGTGTTGTTTGATGCGACATGAATTTGATTCTGTTTTGTGGACACGCTAATAACTGCACAAAAATTTGGTCAAATTTTCAAGGCATTACGACGATTTCTGCAGGTTTTATCATAAAAACTATGAGGATAATTATGAATTTAATAAAAATGGTGTTTGGCCCCCGTTAAAGTATTTCGGCAAAACCGCTTGGCAGGCAATGTGTTAATGTTGTATTAATTATTTAAATCCAGCATAAGGGCATAGGTGTTTTCACTTATGACAAGTCCCCGCAAGAACTTGCCACATCTTTGCATAACGACTAAAACCCTATGCATCTACTATAAAATCCATTTACTTTTGATGCAACTTTGCTTTGTTAAAGGCAAAAATATTCTGCTCATTAGTGGTAGTTTAAATCGATAAAACTGAACGAATCGGTTTAAACCTATTGTTGTTGTTGTAGTAGCGGTTATCTAGAGCTCCCAGGTTAATTGTCATTGAAGATACATAACGGAAGATCCAAGCAACTCGCTTTACATCTATTTTTACGTATTATAAGCTCTCAAAAGAATAAAATTCTGAGAGCTACAAAACGTATTGTTATTCAGTTATGAAAAAAACATTCGAAAATAGCGATTTACGTTTCGAAACTGGACTCGAACCCCTCACACCGCATAAGCACATATATAAGCATTTAAAATTTTACATTTTTTCCGACTGAAGGTAGGTAGGTAGATAGAATGGCTGTCTTTTGGCACACCTAAGCCGTGATACCACCGGGACCAAGATCGCCACACTCTATTGGCTCCGTTCTAAACCACACCGTACTTCTGATGAGCTTCATCAGTAAGACAAGTTTTGTCCGTGCAACCTTCAAAACGTCATCAAGAAACCCTCGACCGATGGTTGTGATTATTTTCCTGTACAGAGCCGTGCAATCGTATAGAAGATGTTTAATGGTCTGCCTACCTCCTGACAGCTTCGACAATAGTCGTTTGCCACTTAGACTCAGCTATGTTTATGACATATTTGTCTATTAAATATCTACAAGTAGCCAGAGGCATATATGTATGCGCTTTTTAGCGGAATCTAACTGTAGGGTGGTGCCTGTTCTGGCTAGTTCATCTGCTACACACTATGGAATTAAATATTATATAAACTTACAGAAGCAAGCTCCTTAGTTTCGAGTCAAACGCCAGACTTAACAGCGTACTGAAAAGATATACATACTCCTATATATATAGTATATACTTGTATGTGTACATATAGTATGTAATTTGTAAACCCTCATATTAAATAAAAGACAATGTGTACTTCTCAACCATTTTATTGGGTATTCAAGTCCATAAAATTATATCTATTTTACTTTCATTGATATGTAGCGTTTTCAATATTATTTCTAATTTTCCCATCTCCCACGCTTTTGCGCATCAACCTACAAGTAATGTTTCTTCATCGGGAAATTCATAATTGGGTACGGCTAAATTGAGTGGGGCCGGTCCTTTACGTACACGGCCCGACGCATCGAAATGCGAGCCATGACATGGGCAGTAGTAACCGCCGAAATCACCGGCATTGGCAATTGGCACACAACCCAAATGTGTGCAGACACCGATTACTACCAGCCAACGCGGATCCTTGACCCGTTTGTCATCCGATTCTGGATCGCGTAAAGTCGATATATTTACCGAACGCACACCTTCGATTTCAGCTTCCGTGCGATGTCGTATGAATAACGGTTTACCACGCCACTTGAATGTCACTGATTTGCCTTCGGGTATATCTTTCAATTTGATCTCAATCGTGGCCATAGCCAATACATCGGCGGTTGCGCTCATTGAGCGTATGAAGGCGTGTACCAAACCTTTGGCTGCATAGCAACTGCCGATAGCGCCGGCTGCAACGATGGCATATGAAAAGCTTTTTCGCTGTTCAGCACAATTATCCTTTGGGTCATCCCGATTATCCGTTTGTCGACGATAGTCTGTGAAATCCGGTACCTTCATGTCGTTATGCAGCATTCTCAGTTGTAGCGATGACAAATTCCGATTAACGAACTCGAGTGGCACTAACAAATGTGTGAAATTCCTGGCGAGGAGAGTCGATGGTGGGCTAGCTGCTACAAGTTTTCTCACGGGTGAATCAATATTGGCAAAGTTCCTATTGCGACGTATCATGTACAGCAAAGCATTGCGTCGAGGCAAAAGCACATTTAGAATTGTTGTTCTAAGAGCACTGCAAAACCCGTTAAACATTTTGAGCAAATTGTCTGAATTTTTTTTATTTAATTTAATTTAATTCTGAAAATTTTGTCTACTTAAGTGACGAAAAGGGAAGAGAAGAACTACTCATTTTTGAACTCAATAAATTAGTTTTTTAAATGTCAAATACTACAGTTACGTATATAAATTATTTGAACTTTTCGTTATCGTGGACATTTTTAGAATTCACATACGACAGTGGTACACAACAGTTTAGTCAAACTGCTCTGTCATGCCCACAGATATTCCGCATACAATAACTACGGTTCGCCACTAAACACTCTTTCTTGTGCCTCCCAAAACTCATTCCTTTAATGAAAACCAATCACATAGTCCAACCACAGCAAAAACATTTAATTTACGGTATAAATATACCGTTAAGGCATTTCCTTTAGTCCCTTATAGTTAAAAGGTTTAGATAACAGCTTCAATAACAAATTGGTTCATCTTGGAATTTAACATTTTTAGTCTTTTTAAATAGTCCAATAATTGTACCGGTACGGGTTTCGGACATCTTTTCATTTACTTTTATGTCTTAATTGAGACCATTACCTTAACCGTTTTCATCTACAAATACACAAAGACTGAGGAGGAGAAACAGAGATGTCAATCATTGGTAATTCGTCTTTTCAGTTTACCTTTAACTCAGTCTCATTTTATGGCCCAGTGTATCTGTAGCATAGGACGCGTCGCGACGAGAGCGAGACAAGGTTGATACCGGCAGCAGTCCAGTACAAGTTTATAAGTATCAGGTGAGTCCTAACTGTAGTTTGGCTAAGTAATATCTTGGATCAAACAAAGAATGAGACCACAGCATGGATAAATCAAACGTTTCCGTAAGCGGGAATTCAGAAGTAGACCGCAGTTCGTTCCGGTATAATACTTACAGTTGATGGACTGAAAAGTTGTTGTAAGTTATATTGAAACCTCAAAATATATTTCCGAAAAAAAAACGATTCATAAATTTTATTACTCCTTCCGAGAAGCCCTTAAATCTCCGGTCAAGAATACCATATACAATTAATACACATTTCCGTGAGATGTTTTACATTTATTTTGAATACATAGAAAGTAAAGATAAATAGGAGTATAAGAGCATTAAAGCGACGCTAAACAGGGTTACATATAAACATACATAAAAACATTGCTATACTTCACGAGCACAGTTCAATTTGTACATTTTCGTACCACTGCTTCCTCTATGTATCCGGCTCGTCTAAAAGCCAAAATGTTTCCATTTCACCTTTACCTTTGACCTTTACATAGCCACGCGATTCGATTTTATAGCTCGCCTCACGCAATTTCATCGCAGTATAGTTCGATAATTGTATCTTATATGGGTCACTGCTACTTTCCATGCGTGACGCTGTGTTCACTGTGTCACCAAAGAGACAATAGCGTGGCACTTTCAAACCCACAACACCAGCTACCACAGGTCCCGAATTTATACCCACCCTTATAGCAAGGTCTGGTATCTCTAAAGCCTTCACCTTCTTCACCACACGCAAAGCGAAATCGCCAGCATGTTGAGCATGTAAAGGATTTATATCGGGCGCTCCTGAAACGGCCATATAAACCATACCAACTGTCTCCACTTTATACACAAACGGTGATGTTATCTCTTCATCAAATGCCGAGAATACCGTATTCAGTGTGGTAACCGCAGTCATAGCATCACGTATATCATTCGTATCGCCAGCGTAAATATTCATCACTTCTATGAATATAACGGAGACCTCCTCAAAAGACTGGCATATTGTCTCCTCACCATTACGCATACGTTCGGCGATAGTACGTGGTATCATTGAGTAAAGCAGCTCATCACCTTGACGTTTCCATGAATCGGCCAGTTCTAATGATTTTTCTAACTCATCGGAGCGTTGCTCCTCCTTTTCGAACATAATTTCCAATTTAGAGCAATGCTGCCACCCAGCCATTACCAGTTCACGACTCAAGCCATGTGGGTTTAAGTCATTTAAGAACAGACCAATGCCATGCAATTCATCCAAATTTTCAATGAGCGGACTGCACAGATAAATGAGTGAATCAATATCTTTGAGATGAAACATTTGACCTTTTAACAAAATAGCCTTGCTTCCATGTGATATTTTGCGTCTACCGGTAAGAGGATCGATTTCCTCTTTCGGATCGACATTTAGCAGATTCTCCTCACTGCTATTTAATACTTCCCTTACTTCGTCTTCGAGATTATGATCCATAAGCGCATCGTAGGCTGCTTGATTACGACCTGTACGCAATAGTTCGAATTCGAAGAGTACCGAGTGCATTTGTATAATTTGATCCCAAGTTATTTTAATGTCTTTCGGACGGCGACACTTGAATATATCCATAAGATGTGCACCCAGAAAATTTTGTGTATTCTTACCTTGATTATGTAGTATCCAAGTATCGACAATTTTTTCACCAGCCGAAGTAATAATCATATTGCGATTTATTAACACTGTGAAAGGAAAGAGATCCAGAAATACATCAATATTGATTTTCGGCAAAATCTGTTGCGTTGGATGTGCCACGACATTAACACGCTTCGCCATATATTCGCGATTGTCAAAGTCCAAACGATATTTTACAATTACCGTTAACGGTTCGTGACTTAACTTGATGGGTCCAGCTATGCCACCATTGATATCATTTTGACTCTCAATTATCGAACATTTCACATTTAAATTGTAGAACTCGCGTCCTACCTGCGTAAACTGACCCATTAAATATTTCGAAAATCCCGTACGTCCACTACGATAAACCATTACGGCGCCGTTATCATCCACCTCTGTTAGCTGCATGGATGGACTTTTCATTTTCGGATAGGTGAAACGCATCTGCAAGTGAATATTATCGATAGACTGTAGAAAATCACAAAAATAACGTCCCGTCGCACGTATCATCTTATCATAGCCGAAATTGCTGAAAAATCGCACGAAAGAATTGCCAAAAAATGACATACACCAATCGAATGACTTGCCCGTAAGCGCCGACAATGCGGCCGCTATATCGGGCATTAACGTGTCGGGATAGATCTGATGAGTCTTGAAGGTATTGTGACGGCAGTCGATTATTTGGCATACTTGACGCCAAACTTCTTCACCGAATTCCTCTTGAATGAAGTGTTGGACGGACTCTAAAACCATGCCATACATGTTTGCAGCTTATTGTATTATTAAAAATGGTAGTTTAATTAATATTATTATATATTTGTTTATTTATTTTTTAGTGATAACTAGTAGCAGTCGTTGTGTTTTGAGATCAGTTTATTTTCCGGTCATAAGCGTAAATAATTTAATAAATGCAGTTTTTTGTAGGCGTATAAGTGACTGGCGCTTGACTTTTACTGGTAACTGTAGAGTTGATTGTCAGTGTGTTTTACCAACGACAGTGCTTGATTGTGCGCTATTATTGAAGATTTTATAGAAATATCAACTTAATAATGTTCTCTTCTTCTCTTACACTTTTTGTTTTATATTTAAATTATTTCTTAAAACTTTTTTGTAAATTACAATATAGTATGTTATATTTCTTGTTGTTGTTTATATTTTGTGCATTTTTTTTAAATTGTAATTTGTTAAGCTTGCTTTTATATTGTTCCTTTTAGTTTTTTATAATTGTTGAAATTCTATAAATATTTTCATATGCAATAACATAATTATATAATTATTTTATTACTTTTTGAATTATAAATCTTTTAAGATATTCGTTATTATATTGTTGCACTTTTCATTTCTTAAATTTTGAACTTTACTATAATTTTTCCTTTATGCTATTTATTTTGATATGTACTTCCATTTTTGAGTTTCTTAAATCCTCCATAAATTTTTAAAATTAATTTTTCACAGTTTCAAAAATTAGTTACTATTTTTTGCACTGTCTCAGTTTAAATATTCCAATTTTAAATTTATCTCATGCGATTTATCCCTTGCGATACATTTGTATGTACATACTCGTATTTCTGTCGCTCTGTTGACTATTTTTTGCACAGCTTAACAATTTCTCACTTGTGCCCGTAATTTGCGTTAAGGACACATTTTAAGCGCTTAGTATGCTGCTTACAATCTAGCGGTAATCAAGTAGGCGGTAATGTATGTACACAAATAAACAAATCCACTTTAGCCCTCTACCTCCTTCAGCTCTTTTTGCCACTGCTGCTGCCACTGCTGTTTGTGTCACTGATTTATTGCGAATTCCAAGCGCGTGCCTATTGAATTCCTCTCAGCTTGTGGGTGGTGGTTTACAGGTGTCTATGCCCTCCCCAAACAATTTTTGCCGATGAAATGTGCATATTCCGGCATTTGCCAACTGCTTGAATTCGCCCTCTTGTTGTAATCCGCAATTAAATAGACTTAGCAAATATTAATTTTTATTTATATGTTTCTTTTTATACTATCATTTGTAAATACCATTTATTATTTTGCTTTTATTTAATTTTTATGACTCCACTCCATTATTCACATATTTAATTCTTGCTGTAAATTAGCTAAAGGTTTGCGCTATTTATGTTTTAGTTCACTAAGTTCATTAAATTCTGAGTCTATTAAATTCACGTGTATTTGGTTTCTCTTTTATGTGTTTATGACAAATTCTTTGGTAAGAAAACTTTCGTTTTCGGATATGCATCCGCACACATAAATTCTCTGCACAGTTATCGTTTGCTTCCTCAATTCTCTTCGCTCTTCACCTTCTAATACCTTGCACCCAGCGCACCAACACAATCTACGCTCGCGAAGTATTCTCTTCTCCCTTGGTCAGACTGTTTTGCTACAATTTGAAATGCTGCTGTGCCTCTTGCGGATGCTCTGCTGCTACTGAGCGCTCCTGCTGGCTGACTGTTGACTTAATACATAAATTAGAGCACTGTCATGAACCTACTGCCTATATGCATATGTACTATGTTATGTATATACGTATACTTCAGTATAATGTGTTGCCAAAAAGTATCAGTCGACTTATTTCGCATCATTAGCCAACCGTCCTTTCGAATCGCGCCCTGCCGTTGCGTTACTTGCGCATACACAATTTAGTAAAAAATAAAATGTAGATGTGTATGTGTTTAAATACATATATACATTGTATGTCTTTTGGTTTCACTTTTGTTTTTATTACTCAGTCTTTTTATTAGTTTCCTATGACATTCGGTGTTTTTGTATTTATTATGGAAATGTGTTATTTTATATATATATAATATATATTTACAGTTATTTTCTCTGCATCAATTTTGCTAAACGTGTGTTTTTATAGTTGTTTCAGCAGTTGCTGCTCGCATTACTTTTGTTTTACGCACATAATTAATATTTCCTTGTCAATAGCACAAGAACTTACGCGAGCCTCGCTTCTTCACTTCGAAATGCGGTCCGTTGCTTTCTGTTGTGTCTTTTATAGCAGCTACGACCGCAATCAATTACAAATTCTTTCTTTGGCGTTAATCGAAGCTCATGTTGCAAAGTGCCCTTTGCGCACAGTGGTAGCGTTCATTGTTGTTGGAGGATCTGGCGTGTTATAGGCCCCTATTTTTAAGTAAAGGTAAAGACGTTTTGAAGAACCTCTCAAAATAATAGAAGTAAGGAAACGTCTATTTGTTGCTATTGAAAGTACATAGAAAGTACCAGAAGTTAAGACAAGAGCTATGGGCAAAAATGTTTTTAAAAACTACAAATTTCTTCAGAGGTAGTAAAAATTTTGAGTGGTTGAAAAACTGTTAAAGGATACATAATAAATAGGTGGTATTCCTCTGGGCACCGAAAGATTAGCAGGTTTTAATAACCCGACCGTTAGGTGTCCACATGATCAACTGGCACGGCTACCATAGACCTGCAAATAGAGAATCTAAATTTTTGTGCTCATTTATTTATTATTTGTGATTGATGGATTATTTCCAGTTAAATGAATAGTATTTAAAGTAATAAATAAAATTGTAAAATGTAATGTTTTTTTTACATTTTTACACTTAGAAACCTTAAATATTATTGTATGTAACATATTTGTCACCCTCTCATAAAAATGTTTACGTTTTCCAGTATTTATATGTATATTTCGCGGTATTATCACACAAACTCATAAAATATGTACTTGTCCACGCGTATAAGAGTGTCCTAAAAAGAAAGCTGAAGCTAGAGGAGTCATTGGGCGAAGGAAATTGCTTAAGGATTTGCTTATCGCTTTACCTACAGACACCGTACAACCTTCACATACACGAATGTATAAAAATTACCATCAATTATATATTATATAAGCATGTACATTAGGGTAGTCCACTATTTTTGGTGCCTAGTTACACATTTGATTTTAAATGCTAAAACTCATCACAGAGTAACTGCAAAAATATTATAGATTGTTAATGATAATATAAAATTCTTATGTAATTAATATAAATTTTCTTATATAAGGTAGATGGGGACTAAGGAATATTTTTACCCGATTTTATACAGGTTTGGAGTTACGACATACCAATACCAGAAATAGATGCCCTTTGCATTTTATTAAGAAACCTCACAGATTGACCAATATAAAAGATACAAAGTGAAAGCGGATGTTTAAAAATGTTGTTAGAAATATTTATACGAGTATTCTTTCTGAATTTCATTAAGCTTTCTTAAATATTGGCCGTTAGATGCGGTATAAAGTCAACTGGATGTTCGAAAATATTTATATTAGGTATTTTACCCATTTTTGCACAAGGGCATGCTGTCATTAAAAAAAAAAAATTTTCCGAATTTTTCAACCCCCCTTGGGTACCAAGGAATACATTTACGAAATGTCATCAAATTTTTTTAATTTTTACTTGCTAGCACGGACAGACAGACGGACGGAGATGGACAGAAAGACGGCCACTCGGAATTCAAATCGTTTGGTGATCATTTATATACCCAAGGGGGTATATTCCACATAAACTTACATGTTCATATATATACATATGTATATTTACAAAATGTCACCACTAAATTGAACCCTTTTTATTGCAAAAGGATACATTCCGCATAAATGGCCTTTGTTTCGATAAAACATAGAAACGTATACATTTCGATTTATGTACTGACATATACGTGGTCGTTAAAGACCTTTGTAAATTTTTACTTTATCATAACTGTAGAAATTTGCTGCCACCAACATTGTATTTAAGCCAAGTATATACAGATATATTAAAAAAAAAACATGCAGAATTACATACAAGTATATATGTATATTTGTATTATATAAGTGTCGGTGTCAAATTTGTCACTACCAAAGCTTCCAGTTGCAACGCTTTCCGCTCAATTTACATGCTGCTGTGCCAGTCACTCATCGTTTAAGAATATAAGACAATTAGAGGGATTGGTACTTCAATTATTTACACTCACTGTTGCAACTAAATTCGAGGGTAAACTATTTACTTAAGTGTATGTATATAACTACTAGCATATACAATCTTTATATACAGATATATTTACGTATGTAAGGATAGTGAGTTGACAAGAAAAATTCAGAGAGATAGGTAAAACATTGCCAAGTTCGAGTGGGTCCGTTGTAGATTAGTAATGTGGTCTCGACAACATATAAACCGACTTCAATTCGACACTTATATACCAGCATTTTTCAAAATAGCTAACCATCAGAGTACAATTTTACTTAGTAGTAGTATACTTGTATGTTGATATCACATTATGGTAATATAACCGCTTGCTATTTGAGCATCCTTTGATTGGGTCGAAAAGCCAGTTGTTTGTTCGATTCGTCACTCTGTAAGTGTTGACGAGGCGAATACACTTATATACGAATTATATACCACTTTGAAATTTAGACTTCCATCGCGCAAACACAAAAGCACAATCATAATGCACTAACACGAGCTTAGAAGTTGCACGCAAAAACTTCAATATAAAAGTAAAATTTCTTTCGGAGCGTCTCTGTAAAGTTTTTTTGACTATAGGTAAATATAATTAAATTAATTATGTAACATTTACAGCTAAAAATGGAGGAAAGAGAAAAATTGAAATGAACTAGACAGTCACGATACTCTAACATTACCATTCGTTAGCCAAGAGGAAGACGCAACGAATTGTGTGACAAAATGAAGTCTTTAAATAAAGCAGTACTCAACTTTATGGTACATGGAATATAATATTACTTTTAAAGTATTTGACTTCATAAAGTTCTGTTATAGCGTAGTTGCAAATTTATGTATATATATTTAAACAATTTGTTCCAGTGAACAAATTTAGCCCATTTGGTATGGATAATTAGTTAAATAATTGAATAAATTGTTACAGTATTAATTATTCAATTTAATTTAAACGACTATTTAAAGCGTTATTTGCTGAGAACGTCAATATATGCGCGTAATATGTAGTATTGGAAATTATTCATGATCTGAGTTCAATTTTAGTGACTTTATATACCATATTTGGTGTTGCTCATCAATGTCGTCGAAATCAACAGGGCGTATGAGTTATGTTGACACGACTTAGCATACTGCTTAGAGGGTACATACGTACATATGAAAACGTATGTCGACATATTGTCCAATCTTTTTCAAATATGTATGTATCTACGTAAGAACGTGCTGTATATTTGAAGAAATTCTTATCCTTAATAAAATACGTGTAATATAATTTAAAGCGATTAGTTGTTACGTTTATTCAAAATCGAACACATTTCATATGAACTGCTGTCAAGTTAAATGAGCGAAAGATTCTTATAAGAAATATATAATATGTAAATAATTTATAAGTTGTCATCTGTGTGTATTTGTTTTTAACGAAATAGGGTTGACAGTTGGATATGTGTGTGTATTTTAGCAGATAAAATGTTTTTGTCAACGATTTTATAAATATGAATATACGTATAAGCCCCTACAGGAAATTATGAATTTGATGTCCTAGAAAATATGAAAAGTTCTCCCGGCATACCAATTTTGTATTACAAGATTTTCGGCTAAGTACAGTAAATGAACTCATCTAGCAAAGTAGACTTATGTTTAAGTAACTCAATCGTAATTTCTACAAAAAATATTCATATAATATCAATAATAGTAATTAGTATTATATTTTAACACATAGACTTGTATATATTAATATTTTTATACTCTTGCAACTTGAGTAAAATAGTTTTGTTCACCTAACGGTTGTTTGTATCAGCTGAAACTAATCGAGTTAGTAATTGGTTTAATATGCATATCTCCTAAATCATAAAAGCTACAATAACCAAATTCACTCAGGACAAATCTTTTGAGCACCCCTATCGATTGTGTGAAAATGTGTGAACTCGAGTGATAATCCTGCCCACTCCCCATATAACGGTTTCGATTAAAACTACTAAAAGTGCGATAACTTATTAAATAAACAATCAGAGACTTTAAATTTCAGACATACGATGGTACATATAAGATTTATAGGAGCCAATATAAAGATTGGACAATGAGCGTGGTACCGTCCTCTTTTAGGTGATAACCCATATTACGGGATAATGCCCAATATTATGCAAATCGAACCAAAACTGTTCAAGCTCTAGGTACCGAATATGTGGACCCTAGTACCTATAGTTGACTTTTTAATGAAAATATCGGTCGATGTAACTCAGAGAAAATCCTTTCCTAATACTAGTATGTCTGTATGTCAAAAAATGGTTTGAATTGGGTCAATACTACCTATATACCAAATATAAAGATTTTCGAACTTCCGGGTGACTTTATCCGCATATATCGGCCAATATCTCAATGGAAATGAAAGAGTGTGTTTTACTCATAACAGTGTATCTTTGTGCCTAAAATGGATAAAACAGCTGAAAATTTGATCTAGCCCCCATATAACTAATATTAGGATTTTCAAACATCCGGCTGATTTTACTCCATATGATTGCTGATGGTAGATGAGGTACTTTAATAGAGCCCTGGAGAATTTTATTAGTCTGTGGCATGTTAATAGTATGTATTATTGGCAAAAATAGATAAAATCGAGTCAATACTACCGCCAACTCCCACATACTGCATCATATAATGATTCTCGTTTTTTTAACAAGATTTAAGCCGAATATGTCGTTCAATGCCCCCAATATATCCCATATAATGACTTTCGTCTTTCCACCTAAATTTAAACCGTTCAGATTGGTCAAAATGTGATATTTTAATGAAATTAAATGGACAAATTTTTTTTTTAATTGTATATTGCTATAGCGCTGAATTAAAATATTTACCTAAACCTCATATCACTAATACAATTATTTTCGATCCTCTGATTATCGTTTTCCACATCAACTGAATATATGTATATTAAACTTAGCCTCTTCGTTCGAGTTGAAATCAAATTCTTAGTTGAAGTTGTTTTTAATAAAATTTTAACTGACGCGAACTAAAATTCAGCAGTAAAATAAAGTCGAAGTTAATGGTCTGCAATATAACTTAGGAAGATAGCAAACTTGTTTGTAATTAATTCCCGATTTCATCGAATAATGAATATTTAATTATTTCGCAACATTTTTTTAATATAAAGTTTGCCAGTACCTGAAGGAATTTCAAGGACTGTGATTCTTACAAGTTGCAAGAGTATAAAATATTCGGTTACACCCGAACTTAGCCCTGCCTTTCTCGTTTATTTTGTTATGGTTTTTAATTGTTGTTTTAAAAACTGCTTTCTATCTTTCCTTCGGTTTTTATGCTATTTTACAACTTTGTAACCCAACCACAAATTTATAAAAAGATATATATTTATAACTAATTATTAATATTACTCCTACTAAGCACGCTTAGTGCGCAATGCAAACTACCACCCTCGAAATACCTATGAAGCTATGTACATATATTCTTTTCACAACACAGTAGACGTGCACGAACAAGGAAACTTTTTGGTGATTTTGCTTACTTCACACTTCTCTGTAGGGTATTTCATATATTCAGGAACAGCGGCACGTACTTTGGGATAACTACTTTTATATTCATATATTAGAAATACACATATATATGTACGTACAAGCACATATGTATGTTTATAAGCATCGTTACCAATCAACTTTAGGTCGTCTGTATGTACATATGTACATCCATACAATTGTTAATAATTTATGTAAACAAAAAGTTAACCTACAGTACAACAAGTACTTAATTAGTCGATTTTGTTTATCAGGGGTTGTTATAAAAGTTCTAATGGAAGTAATTAAGTAGCAAAACACTTTTGACAGAAAAAAATACATACATATTTAAATTTTTTTAAAAATATTTTACTACCAAAAAAATATTAAGTTAAATTTTAACAAAAATCAAACGCCAACTGCTTTATTGAATGAATAAACTTCGTAAAAGTAAAAAAAAAATATTGATACACATTTAATTTAATATTTTTGTACATTGCGTATGAGTTACACTTGAAATACGAGTATAGCATTACATAATGCATGTGCTGGGTGCTGAATGGGACTATTGATAAAAATCTTAAAGAATTAATATTGTGAACACATTTTGTACTTTTCTTTGTGGTAATTTAAGTTTTCACCCTTAAAACGCTTGGGTGGTTGTTTGGCATTTTTATTAACAAATTATTTTTTTTTTAATTTAAAACTATTTTTATTCAGTTCTTTTTAATGAAAAGGGTACATTAGGCTCTTCAGTAACGACTGTATAAATTTGCGGGTACATAACGAAATAGCGCTTCAATTTTATATACATAAGTTTAAGATTTGAACTGCAATGTGTCTGCGTTTCTCCATGTCATCCCAAATCAAAGCAATGGGCTTAGAAACTTGGTGCCACTGATTCCTACAGACCAGCCAAGGACTGCGAACTAGTTTTTTTGACCGCCGATTTTTCTGTAATGACAATTTCTTTATCTTTAAGTCCTACTTTTTGTTATTATGATTGCATCATTCTCAAAAGTGGTATACATATATTTGTAAGTATATCAAGAGAAAATTGCAAGCCGTCTTGACGAAAGCGTTATTCCTCGCGGTTTGGATATAACGCGTCTGAAGATCATCGGCGGATGATAACTGAAAATCCATTTTCTTATAATTATGACGACAATGATTAAAAGCCTTACACTAATCAAATATACACCTTATGTGTGTTGGTTTCCAACATGACAACATGTGACTAACAGGATATAAATGTTGATTATCTCTAGTTATCTCTATAAATTTCAATTTAGATAATGATGTTGATATGTGTAGGGTTGGATTATGAAGAAAAATTCACGATCCCCATGGTATATATATTTTTTTTGAGATACGGACATATGTATGTCTTCTGAACTGGCGTGATACATATTTGATGTTTCGTTTTTGATAATTATGATCAGAGGTTAGATATTCTGTAATGATGGTCATATGATAGTCAGGAAATTCAATAAAGAACTTAGGCGCGTATGGTATATACATTAAAACAATGTCATTCTCTGTTTATTTGCATGCATTCCAGTAACTCGTTAGACTATTTTTAATTTCTTTTTGATATTTGGCAACGAAAGAATATTATTTCATTTCATGTATTTTATTATTGATTATTTGAAAATTGCAGTTCATAAATTATTCATTAACTGGTTCTTCCAACTTATTTCCCAAGTCCAACTTTGTTAAACAGTTTGTCCTTAGCAATTTGTGCCATTAAACCGTGAATTAGCTCTATAGATGCGCGACTACAATCACGAGTGGCCTTCGATAGTTTATCCTCTGTACGCTTTTCGCTACCTTCAGCGCCTTTAACAAAAAAAATACACATGGGAGTTAATTTTGTTAAGTATTATTGTGGTTTTCTTCTTCTTACCTGTAACCACAAATGGTCCACGCACTAAACTCGATTCGCTCTGTTCAAGCTTCTCTGACAAATCGAAAATTTGTCCAGTTGTATAATCTGTATTAGTAAGTAAGCCTGAACTACCCAGTGTGTTCACCCAATATTTGTTCCATAACGAATCTAATAGCTTTCTATCCAAAGCGGACTTGAAATAAGTCACTTCAAGTGGATAATATTGTTTACAGTGTACGCCGAAATCGTCGATTTTATTTAAAGGTATGGTCTGATATTCAGAAGGCTCTTCATTCGGTGGCTTATACCCTTTTGGATATGTACGAAAAGCTCCCAAGCAAACTTTGCCTGCTGACACTGTACGTACTGGATCTACTACAATGGCAACAAATGGTTCTTGATAGTTCTGATTAAGCATTTGTGTTGACACATCAATTCCTGATAACCAACATCCATAACCGGGATGACTATGGTACCACCCAATTGCATTTTCCAATCTACCTACTTCTTTTGCTGCAACAATATAAGCAGACATATACTCATAAGCCTGAGATTGGGCATTAACACGAGTCTCAGTGCCTTCAACTGGCAAGGCAAAAGCATCCATGACAATCATTGTGTTATCTTCAACTTTACCAAGAAGCAGACCCATAATCTCTAGTGTTCCACCTGAGCGGGCATGCATTACCATCTTAAGCAAGGACAAAGCTGAAATCTTTATGTCCTTAAAATAGTGTGGATCCTTTTCCCATGGCTTTGCATCGAGAATCTGTCTTTGCTGTTCTGCATCGTACCGAAATATTTCATCGCAAGCTGGCAAAGTTTTTACATTATTTTCCAGCTCCCAAGTTTTGCGTGAAGTCTCTGCATCCATATTTTCTTTCTTATTGTTATATTTTACAACACAAATTTCCACAATTTTCTTACAAATCGCCGCAACAAAGAATAAACAAAATTTGTATGTCAGCTGTAACCTCAAAGTTACGTTCGGAAAACAATGTCATGCAAGAAATAAAACTTACCGATGGCGCTGCTAACAGTTGATATTTTTGTTGTTGGGCCACAATTCAAAAGAAAGCAAAATGGAGAATACAGAATTGTTAGCAGCTATGTCTCGCTGACTTATTTTGTATTGAATATTCTGTACTTAGTAATATAAGTAATAAAAGATAAAACAGTAGGAGTAGTTAGTAAAACTGTATATTACGAATTTAATAAAACCTTCATAAATTATTAAGTAAATAAACATTTTTTTGGGAAATTTTAGTATACCATCTCACGATTTCAGGGTTAAAAAGGGTATGGTTGGATAAATTAGATTATCCAGATCTATAATTATTTATATTCTTGATCTGGAGAATCTCCTCTATCCAACCATACCCCTTTTAATTCTGAAATCGTGGGATGGTATACTAAAGTCAGAGGATGTAAACTACATTCTCTGCTATAGCCAACACCAGATTTTTAAGACACTGAAGCATATTCACTAACATTTCATGTTTATACGTATAAGAATGGAAATACAGAAAGGCGTAAAAACACCCTAAAATTTAAAAAAAACTAGCTCGTATATTAATTTTATTTGAAACATTGTAGAAGAAAAATAAAAACTACGGTAAACCCTTAAAATTAAAACAAACATAACTATCTACATGGTTGATATACATTGTACCAAGATTTCAGTTAAAAAAAATTCAAATAAACGTCATGTTAAAGCTAATAAGAAGAAGAGGTTAATTGACAAAGGCAGATAGCAATAGCAAAAGGAAACGAACAGTGAACGAGCGCGTCCCTTTTCTTATAAAAACGCAAAAACGCAGCTATAGAAAAATTCCGATAGAGAAACTGTGATTGGAGAAATTAAATATATTAATTTTTAGAAAAAGTTATAAAATTTATAAAATACTGTGTAAATATAAAAAAGTTTCAATATTAATTTATACAGTCGTAAAAACAAGCTTGAAAATAGGTGCAGAAGTTCAGTAGTCACGAATAGCGAAGAAAAATTTGCTTTCTTTTTTTCGCTGCCACAGTCGGTTCGGCTTGGTTGTATCGGTTTTCGTGTTCACTGTTTTTTTCTTTTTTTCGTTTTGCGAAACTTCTACTGGCATATTGACATATTGATAATAGATTTAATGTGAAAATTAAAGTGTAAATCTGAAATATATCAAAACGGCTGAGCATGGCGTTGGATGGAGCTAAATTTATTTGTCTGTCCGATGCAGCAGCTGCAGACGCGACAGAAGCGACGCCGACAGCGACCACAGGGGTTGAAGCCGGCGGCATCGGTGATGCTTCAACATCAGAGAATGTAATAATTGAAGCGAAAGGACGCAAATTCACTGTTGGATACTACATGAACTGTGATTATGTGCTGGAAGATCCTCGTGCAATCGGAGTCCACTGCGAGATACAGTGCGATGCTTTCGGCAGGGTAAGTTGTGATTGCAAGTTTAACAAACTATGGCGCCGCATCGCAGTTGGCACTGCGTCAGCGTATGTGTATATTTTTCTATTGTATTGTCTAATTGGCGTTATTTCAAATTATGGATATGAGTACTTATAATTAATTGTTTGTTTTGATTAATTTGTAAAATAGGTAACAATTCACAATAACTCCGAAGCACATCCAATAAGTGTTAATGAACAAATTATAAAATTGAAGCGGCCTCTTTTGGACGGTAGTCGCATTCAGATCTTGGATAGAATTTTTTTGTGGAAGTTTCCGAAATCTTTGGAGGCATCTGCAACCAATAAGAGCACACAAGGGGTTGATGTTACAAATAAAGATACAGTTTCTACACCTCAGAAATTGGTAGCGGTACCGGAGCAAGCGCCAAATTCTTGTCCCGACCTTAAAGTAAGATTTATCATAAATTTTGATTACAATTTTTTATAACTATTATATATTTGCAGCATCATCGGAAAGTGGATAAAAGATTCACAGTACATAAGTGAGTATTCATTTATTATATTAGAAGTTAATATTTGTACAAACTTATATATATTTTATGTGTTTTTTCTCAAAATCTAGTCTATATAACTATAGTTAACAAAATTTTAATTAATTTTTCACTTTTAAAATGTCGAATTTGAATTTATTAACAGAAAAAGACAGCTGAAATATAGGTTATTAGCAAAATAACTATTCTAAAGAGTTTACATCGTATAGAACTATATATATATGCGATTAATATAAAAATATGAAATTATTTAGATCATTGCTTCGACCATTGGTGGTATTTTACTTTTAAATTATATATGGCGTTGGCCAAAGCTAAGTTTCTCCTCTAATATTTTGTAGAAAATGTGTTGTTTTAGATAACTGCTGCACATCTTGAGGGCATTTAATTCCTTATATTATAAATAATATAATACCTTTTTCCGTTAGTTCATGTTGTTTTTTTTATTTTTTTATTAGTCTAACGGTTTTTCTATAATTTTCATATTAACGCTATGCTAATTGTTCTGAAAACTTAGGATTTACTATGGTTGGACATGTATAACTGATCATTTTCCCATTCGTGTCTTTATCTAAAAGGCATTAGCGCTTTAAATTATGTCAGCATTACGTATCGACATATTATTCCTATTATTCTGTGAATTAACTCGGAATTTTGTCCACAAGCCGATATGTTTAAATGTTTCCTCCCTAGATTTGATCTCCATATGTAAAAAGTTTGGGGGTTTGTACCACTCACTTCACTGCAAATATTGCAGTTTTGGTGAGTTTATTTTATCACGAACACAGACAGGTATTTGAGTGGCACAAAGCATTCAGTAAAGATCGTGAATTCATCGAAATCTTGCCTTATTCGAGACGTCTACCTATCCACCTCTGTCAATGACGTTCACTTCGAAAAAGTTAAAGAAACAGTGCAATGAAACAGCCGAGTCTTATAACAAGTGTATTGAAAAGCGTTGGCATGCTTGTATTAGCACTGGAGCTTATTTTGAATGCGTTAATAACAATTTTATAATAAAATACGTAAAAATGTATATACGTCGCTTTTTTTAATTTAATTAAGTTTAATGTTTTGCTATCAGATATGACCTAGGTGTAACCAAAATTCAAATTTTGTTTCAATATGAGTAGTTTCTTTTGTTTTTTTTATAACTTTTTCTTTCTCCTGTAAACTTATTAAAAGTGTTTTTACGTTTTTTTTACAATTTAGATGGAATGTGTTGTTTTACCTAAAAGTCATCCAAAAGAAGGCATATTTGTCTCATTGCGAGTTTGTTGATATTTTCTTATATTGTAATATCTTGAAATATTTTACACAAATATTTTTTGCCAAGATAAACTACTTTATTATTTATTATAGTGGCTTTAAATCTTGAGTATTGCCTGTTTATTGTTATTTTTACAATTTTTATACTACCAACAATAAGAGTCTTTACCTATCTAAAATGATATACGAGTAATCCTTAAACGTTTTTATATGTTCACAAATATTGCATAAAAATTCTTTAAAGTTGATTTTTTTTTTTATTAAATAAAAGCTATGTTTTAGTTTTGTCCATTAAATTTTTGACTGCAATGAACATGTTAGAACTTTTAAAAAAAGAAAAATAATAGAAATTATATTGATATATTACCATATTAGTGAATATGAGAAGTGATTCAGCATATCTTTCTATATTGTGATAAAAAATTACAAGGGACTAATTTGGATGGTTTTACAAGTGAAAAAATTAGACTTTGATTACCCTTTAAGTTTCTTACCTACTTCCCAATTGGGTGTGCACAATTCATCTTGCTTTTAATTATCAATAATTATTTTACAATCAATTTTTCTAAAAAAAAAATTTGTCTGAATTTTGAAAATATTATGTTTTTAAAGCTTTGCGTACTGCATCAACTCCGACGAGGAGGGCAATATTTCTTCTGAATTGCCAGTTATAATAAATGAATCGGAAAGAACTGAAGAAGCTTCAACAAGCGAATTAGTTACACAAAAAGAAACCAATAAAAATAAAAGGTTTGAAGAAATGTCAGTGGAAGACAAAGAGATCTTGCCAACTAGTAGTACATCACAAGACAGTGCTGATGGCAAAATAACATTAGAAACATTGAATGCCGAACGACGTAGTATTACACCCGAGCCACAAAAAAATGAGCCAATCATTGCCAGTACACCCTTGATAAAATTAGAGAATACACCAAAAATGAATTTAATAAATTATACACAAAATAAGCAAAACAAAAGTACCGAAAAGAAACTACGTCTATTATCCTTTTGCCAGCAATCCGATGTGGTGATCACATCCTTTTCACCACGCGAAACCGGTGTACGTATCGAAAAATCGTTTACAGCAGTGATTAAGCCTACAACTATCTGTACTATATCTACAAGCTCAACTACACCTAAGAGCGTTTATAGCACTCCGAAAAGTATGCTGTCTGACTATAACGATGGTGAAAGTCGTGATTTTATTGACTTCTCTACACCAGCAACATCGAAGAAAGCCGCCCGAGTACTTGCTAGAAATTCTTCTATGCATTTAATCGATTTGACTACGCCTAGCAAATTGGCACCCGACAGCTCGAGACATCGCTTGACATATAAAGGAAATAAAACACTACCTAGCCATGTCAAATTTTCAATAACTTCAATCTCCTCCGATAAGTTAAAAGAAGATTCGGAGCAAAAAGAGGATGCTTGTGTGGTATCAACAAAGATTTCAACATCGGGAACATCACTCAATAAGTCTGAATCATCCCCTCAAAGTGCCGAGTCAATTATTAGTGTCGACGAAACTAGCGATTCATCAACCGCGGTTATTGAAATATCTGAAGATGATTCGCCAGCACCTAGTACAGCGTCGCCAGTTCGCACAGGTTTTACCACAAAGACACCACAGCGATCGACCGGACAGAAACCTTTCACCTCTACGCCATTGCGTACACCACAATCCTTATTAAAACGTGCCATAGTAACAAGTGCTAAAAAGCAAATAAACTCCTCACTGCGAGCTGCACTCGGTAAATCAACACCAGCGCGACAACTAGCATCAACGCCAGCTCATAATAGAAATTTTGAACGAACCGGCACTACTGCATCAACACCGTCAACTCCAAAAAGCCGAATATCTATTGGCTCACCAGGCAGTGTAGCTGCAGCACAACGTCGAAATATCAGCTCTTTAACAGGTGCCAGTCACAGTAGGGAACATGTAATTACAGCCTCAATAACACCAAGCATACGCCTTACACAAAACAGAAAAATCACAGCTTCCGCTTCTCGTTTGAATACAGCAAAGCGTACCTCTCCCTTGCGTGGAGTACGAAAATCATTCGGCGGCACGGCACTCACATCTCATATTTCGAAGACTCGCCGATCAGTTATATCACCACGTAAGCATTCACCAACAGCCATCGCTACGAAATTGGCAGCAAAGGCTCGTAAATCATTTATACCCAACAGTCCAAATAAGAGACCAGTAGCATCGCGTGCTCGCAGCTTGGTAGCCGCAGCGATGAGCCCAAAAAGTAGCACTCCAAATTCAGTAGCGATTGACGCCAGCTCACCGAAGAGAGATACTACCGAAAAAGAGGTTAAGAAAGATGCATCCTTAGAAGAGCAAAATGAAGTTGACGAATTAAGTCGTACATTCACAGTGGATGATTCGTTGGAAGAAGTGCAAATTAAAACCTCAAATGCTTCAACAGCCTGTGTTCTAGACGTTTCTACATCACAAAAGCAGGAATTGAATAAGATGTTTTCCCTTGAGAAAAAGGTACTAGCCAGCGAAAGCATAGCTGCAGTCGACTTAACTGATGATGCAGAAAGCAGTATTGAATCTCAAAAAGAGGGTCTCCCAGAAGATTTGAATGAAAAAAGCGACAAAATAATTACCGAACATATATCGGAGAGTTTCGCTGAAGTTGTAGAAGCAAACGTCAAAACAGAAGAGAAAATTGAAAGTCTGCAAACTCAAACAGACAGAAACGCAGTTAAGATCGAAAAACAAAATGCTAATGAAACAGTTGAAATGTCTGCATCTCATTCACAAACTGAGAAGCAAGCAGATGATGTCAAAACTACTGCCGAAAAAAGTACGATTGCAATTGATAATCAGCGGGAATCAAAATTGATTGAGGATCAAGTGTTTGAAACATTGGACGCTTATGAAATAAACGACAATATTTCAATAGAACAACTTACTACTACAGCAGAAGATCATGTGCTTACGCCACCTTCTTCTAGTGAAAAAATAGATATGGAAGACATGCCTAAACAGTCTGCTGAGTCCCAAGGCACAGCGGAGTTGCTGGAAGAGATCGAGTATGTATTGAATAAATCCGATGAATTACAGCAACAGCTAAGTAAAGATACACATGCTTCACACATTGAAGTAACAAACGAATTTGTAGCAACAATTGAGAAGTCATGTGACGAAACGGAAGATGTCACAACTAAGAAAAATACGAAGACTGATGTCAATATTAATCTCGAAATTAATCTTGATATAGAGCCTGTTGAAGATTCGACAACAACTGGTAAGGATGAGCCAACAACATCTTCCACTTCAAACTCAGCACTACCAACTTCAAGGGATAAAATAGAATCACAAGAAAATGCGAGTTCCACAGACACAAATATGAAAGCAACAGCCTCCGAAATAACCTCAACTGATCTAGCTAGTTTAATGCAAACAGAGTTATTATCTATTACATCTATAACTATGCCAAGTGATTTAGAAGTTTCTACCATTGAAAGCAGTTCAGTTGAGAAACCAATAGTTTCGGATAAACATGAAGCAACCGATGAAAATGCAGAAAATATAAATAATATTGCAAATCTGGTGAGTTCAGAATCCAAAGTGACAGAAAATGAGTCTGCCATCAAAACAGAGTGTTCCGTGGCTGTTGCAGTGGAAGCAGAAACTCTTGCTGAAGTCGAGTCAACCACGGGCGTTATACAAGAAACAGTTGAAAACGATGCTAGCAACGAAGAAAATTCTGTTAATAAATCGAAAATTGATGCAATAATTTTAATCGACACTGCAGAGATTCTAAAGGATTCTCAAACTGTAGAGTTGGGGAAAGAAGCTAAAAAAATACATGCAGCTGTTGTTATCAAACTAACTGAATCCAATGATAACGATACACAAAAAATAGACCAACTAGATCTTATTACAACAGAGTTCAAAGAAACTGAGAGCGTTGCAACAGAATTTGAAGAATATAAATCGGTAACTTCAAAATCCAAAGTGGCATTGACACCAATTGAAGATGTGCAAAAGGTTGCCGAAGGAATTAAATCTTTATCAAATAGCAGCAAAACGATCACAGAAGAAACAACACCTAAAGCTGAAGATCAAATAGCCGCAGGCAGTGAACGCAACAGTGATAGTGAGAAAGAAAATAACATACGTGTTTCCGAAGAATGTACAAAACTGTCCACCAACACTGCCGATGAGACTAAGAAACCATTCTCTTCCGAGCCGAAAACTCCGAATCTCTGTGGAGTGCGCGATATGTTACGCACCCCAAAGCAAACAGACTCCACTACTCCACGTTTTGTTGGGTTGCGCAATCTTATGCGCACACCTAAGGCATCAACTAGTGCCGCAGCTGCAGCTGCTGCTTCAGAAGACGACACCGAAGAGTTGTTAGGCGTGCAGAAATTGCTAAAAACGCCGTGTATAAGTAAAATAAAAGCAGATACTCCACAAAATACTGCTGAAGATAGCAAATTCACACCTAGACGTAGTACAAGGCGTAGAGCTTCGGCAAATCCCGAGCTAACACCAACACCTAAAAACATTACGGAAACGGACGATACACCACGTCGTACAACCCGAAGACGTGCATCGGCATATGCTGAAGTTAACTACACGCCACAACGTATTACACGGAGGCGCTCTTCTTTGGCGTTAGACAATGAAGCAGCAGCAGACAAGACATTGACGCCAATTAAACGTGGTGGCTTGCATTCTAAACGCCCAGGCACAATAGCTGAAACTCCAGTTGCTGAAGATATGGGTGCAATTATTGAAGAGGAGGCTAAAGAGTGTGTGCAGGAGTCGACTGGTAAGGATTAAAATTGTATTATTAAGTATGCACACTTCTTGAATACACTTTCTTCATAATTCTAGAAGACCAGCAAGACTTTGTGGAAACTCAAAAGAATAAGGAAACTGAAAATAACGGTAGATATTAAAAATTTGTGTAATAAATATGCATAAATAATTATTTTTAAAACCTTTTCAGTGCAAGACGCTCTTGAAGTTATTGAGGAGAGCATTTGTGAAGAAGTTAATACACAGAATCAGGATGTTGAAGAGCAAAAAGAAGAAATTGTGGAAGATAAATCAAATAATGAGTGCGAGAAAGCAGAAAAGTCCACAAGTGAAAGTAAGTTCAACGCAAAAGCTAAAAAACATAGCTATGTTTAAAATTAATTTTTTTATTTTTATTATAGACGAATCCATTTGTGTTAATGAGAAAATTGTTGAAGATGTCGATAAGGTGGAGACTGCAACTGAATGTAATATTTTTTACTTAAACTTCTTTAAAATAATTTTTAAAATTTTATAAAATACCTAATAAATTTCAGCTGAATCCCAACCACAACAAACACAAGTGCAAGAAGTTGCTGCAGATAGTTCATATAACATTGGCGAAGTTCATAAAGGTAATTTTTAATTTGAATGCATCATGCAACACATGTTGAAAGTAATATTTTTATGTTAAAAAACAGAAGAACGCATACAAGAAAGTAAAGACTTAACCGCAGATAAAACTGCCGAAATACTAGATGAATCAGACTATGAGTATGGAAAAGAGGTCATGGAAAATAGTGAAGGTTGGTATTCTATGCCAAGTTAATTATAGCAACTTAACTATGTAGAACTATTAATATTTCCTTTTTAAAATTATCTTTGGGTTTTCTATACTCAAGTGACTAGCAACAACAAGCCGATTGATGGCGCAATATTTGAGTTATTTGAAAATATTTCATATATGATGCACAAAAAACATACATTCTTATAGCTCACATACAATATCTTCAACCTAGCTCTGCAAATATATTGCCACGTACTTAATTTGTCATGTATTTTATTTTAGCAACAGCTTCCACTGACGCTCTTCCGAAAACACCTAAAACTCAACGAAAATCTATCAAAATTGCCGATACTTACTCAGAAAAATCACCGAAAACACCCGTAATGATCGGCATGCGTGAGCTACTAAGAACACCGAAAGATTCCGTTGACACACCAAAGTTGACTGGTGTACGGGATTTGGTGCGCACACCCAAAACAATAATTGGTTCAGCAACAAACGATATGGTTGATGATGCGAAAGAACTAACCGGCTTAGCCGATTTGATGAAGACACCTAAAGCTACTAAAACCCATAGTGAGAACATTGAAGCGGCAGAAGAAGACGATGAACCATCCACATCGACCAAAGCGCATGCAGACTTTTTCGGTATGCGAGAGTTATTGAAAACACCGAAACATACTAGCACGCCATATTATAGCGGTATGCGCGAACTGCTGCGCACGCCCAAGGCTTGCAGTACACCACAATTAGCTGGAGTGAGGGAACTCATGCAGACGCCCAAACGTACTAAACTAGATGTCGAATATGGCGACAAAAACGAAGAACTGGATCAATTCTTCAAAACACCACGCGCTAAAAACATTATGATTCCAGCCGATCCGGCTAGTGCCCTTTTGGAACCCAGTTCGGACTCATCGGCTGAAATTATGATGGCTGCGACAACGGAATATGAACTGCATAGCAGCAGTCAGCGTCCGCTTGAAGAAATCTACAAGACGCCCGTTAGCACTCGTTTAACAAGCGTTGAAATTGAAAAAGACACAAGTTTAACTGCCGAATTCGAAGTGAATGTACCCGAGACACCGGCAGCTATTTGTGCTAACCCACCGAAGGCAACAACCAGCAAACGATATCTCTCCGCTGAAGAGACATTTGACGAAATGGTCGGATTACGTACCACACTGGATGAAACGCCTCCGCAGAAGGTCTATGCACGCAAACAACAATCAATCGTCGCAGTTTCACCCTTCTCAGCAACAGATGTGATTTCTGATTTACCTAAAACCGACATACAGGAATGGGTCGAGAATTTAGAACAAGAGTCCGAATCAGATGTAGAAGAACAGGAATTTACTGCATCCACTTCAATACTGAACGCATCCAAGGCAACACATGATCCGATTGCGGCATCGGCATATGAAATAAGTGGTGTCAATACAACCGAGGAATTGCTGGCGGACATGAGTGCGGTGTCTTCTATGGTTGATCCATTGCAGCCAACTGCAACAAAACCTAATAAATCTTCACCAACAATAGTCCTTGATGCCAACGAGACATTGCGGCCGGTTACGCCGATCAATACCGAAATGAGCGGCATCAATTTGCTTGACCAGACAAACGAATCAGTTTTCTCGGAACCATTAGTGGTGAGCGATACGGAGTCAGAACAGTTGGAAGAAAACGAAAATGATAAAGCAGAAACAGAAACAGAAAAGTTCTTTAACAAAAGCGTCGATGTTAAAAAATCACAAGACGTGGAAGAATTTCCAATAATGTTTATTGATAGCAGTGATTCTGAGCACGAAGAAGATATGAAGACAACTGAAAAATCCGACGCAAAGAAAGTTAAGGTTAAACTAACACCTGAGGTAGAAATCATAGAGTTAGATGATGAATCTACCGCAAACGCGGACGTAACCAACAAACCAATTGATATTCATGAAGAATTCAGAAACTTCCAGTTACACAAAAATGTTGCAGGTCAACATATACGTGCATCCACGCCAAATCGAAGTGTAATGCAATCCACTAGGGCGCGTCGACCAAGTATGGGCGCTGAACAATTCATTACTAAGGTATCGATTGATGTGTCGAATGAAAAATCTCGGTTAACTAAAGAAAGAGAGCGTAAAGAAATTGACACCGTAGTAGAGGTTGATGAAGAGTCAGAAGACAAAGTAACGGTAATCGAAGACGACCCAATCGAGACTTCTGCGAATGCAACCGAACTAAAAGGTACAAATCCAAGTGAAAACAAGCCTTCAGCAACAACTGCTGAAACGATGCGCAATGAATCAGAATTTCGCAATTTCCGAGCAAATAAGTCAATCACCAGCCGGAGAAAGCGTGCTGCGACACCAGATCAAGTCAATAAATCGCGGTCAGAAAAAATAATACAAGGTCGTCGTCTAACCTTAGGTGCTGAGCTGCATTTACACAATGTAAAAATCAATTTTGAGGAAGAGAAATTAAGATTAGAGCAATCGAAGCAACAAACGGCACGTATCGAAGTAGACTCGCTAGAGAGAGATGATTCATTTAAAACCGACACTGTGGAAGCAGTTGCAACTGTAGGGAACAAAACAGCAAATGCAAATTATGTGGATAGTGCAGAGAATGTGGAAGATGAAGAAAAAGTTGATGTTAAAACCCAAATGGATAGGCAAGAAAATGCGAGTGAAGTGGAAGCAAATATATTGGAAAAGCTAGGAAAAGAATTTGAAAAAGGCTTAGATGAGTCAGTACAAGATTTGGAAACTGAAATTTCAGTAGCGGATAAAAATGACGCTCAAACTATCGCTAACGTAGCTAAAGGCTCAGCTGAGGAACCGGAAACTAATGTCATGAATGTGGATAAGATAGAACCGAATATAAATTTTGTCTGTAAAGACGCATCTTTGGAAAACGTTGCATTTGTGGCAACCTCAAAGGAAAATAATGTAAACAAGGCTGAAAATGGAGACACTGCAGCCACATGTAGCAACTTTGAGCGTAAGACAATCACGTCTGGCAATGATAAACCTACTGTAACATTGACTATTGAAGAGGAAAATGCTTCAGAAATGATAAATGAAGCGAAATCAGAATATGTTGAAAATAAGTTAAAAGAAGAGACTGAAAGTACCGCTGTAGATGAACTTACCCCCGCAGGGTCAACAAAAGAAGAAAATAACCCTGAAGTACAATCAACTGTTGGTATCGCAGACCAAGAAGATTTAGAAGAAGCACCTGGTAGCGCAATAGTTGAAGTAATTCAAGTCAGAGCATCCACAAACAAAGCAAATGAAAACATAACTGAATCTGAAGATCATCAAGTGCCCAATAATGTTAGTCTTGAAGCACTCAAGTCACATGAAGAATCAGCTCCAACAGCTTTAGAAGTTGAAAATAAAACATCATCTGCTGGAGATGAGTTCAACGGAAGTGATATATTTGATTTAACCGAAGAGTTATCAAATGAAACGCTGAAAATTAACACAACACAAGGCGTTATATTTGACTTAACTGAAGATGAGGTCGAAAGTACAGCTGAAACGAACACTGCCGAAAACACGACTTCCTACGAACAAAAACAGCATGACGTGACTGAGTCCACAACAGTGTCTATAGCTAGCAATGTTAACAAAATATCGGAAGCAACAGAAAATGCAGGATCTGAAAGCAGATCCGCGGTAGCATACCAAGAAATAGCATTGAGTAAGGAAGCGCAAGCAGATAAAACGGAAGTTACGTATGAAAGCGAAATGGCCGAAAAGGCAGTAAAAACGACAATTGTTGAAGAACTAGAAGCCTCTGTTGATGAAAAGTCGCCACCACCCGCTACAAATACAAGTACGGATAATGAAGCTTTCACTTTGGTCGTATCTGCTGGATCAGAATTGGAAAATGGCGACGAAATACCCGAACGCGACGAAGTAGCGCCAAAAACTAGCAAAGCTAATAAGTATGCAACGAAAGAGGTGCCTGTCGTAAAAGCCGATACGAACAATGAAGTAGAAGAACTAAATAATCAAGTGAACCAAGCTAACATCACAGATGATGTTGAAACTGAAGCTATATCACAAGGCTCAGCGACTGAACTCCATAGTGAGGCAGCAGATATTACGGAAGAACCAGCAACAACAAATACAAAAGAGCCAACTAAAGTTACTGCGTTCGAAACAGAAATGGAGTCAGAAACCCCCACGTCTGCTACCCTTACTGTAAATGAAGCTGACACCGCCGACAATAAAGATTCAAATGAAACGGTTCGAACTGACATTGAGCTGTGTATAGTACCAGAAGATGCTACTACTTCTCCAATTTCACCAACTACAATGGAAACTGAACTGGCCAATAAAGAAACAAAAGAAAACAAACTAGCTGACCAATTACAAACTGAAAACCTCGCCGTTGTGACAGCAGAAATAACAGACGAAGCAAAAAAAGAGACAGCAACGGCCGCTGAAATCGTTGATGAACCAGTTCAAACCCCAGTAAATCAAGAAAAGTCAGACCTAATCGGAGACAATGAGGAAATTGAAGCACAACCTTCATGTTCCCAACTAGGAGGCAAAGAAAATAATGAGGCTGAAATTATACCACTCATCATAGCTGCTTCAACCATATCACATGATGCGCAGGAAACGGCGGAAACTTTGGAAACAGTTAGCGGCGAAGTTCTAGTGAATAAAGAAGAATCACCTAAAAAGACCGTTGTAGATATATCCGCCAATTCGACTGAAGAGCATGAAGAAACGTTAGAATTATTAAAGGAAAATGAAATAGCTGTAGAAAATATCGAACGAAAACAAAGTGAAACGCCAACATGCAGTGAAAAACAACAGTCGCCGAAGCGAAGAGTTTTCAAATCATCAAAACAAAAAGCAGAAGAGGAACCAATCCATAAATCAACCCTCGAAAGTAAACCATTGATTGAGAAAAAAGTTACAGCAGCTCAAAGTCACATAGATATGGCTGAAGAAGGAAAAACAGATGTGGTGCAATTATCAGCAAGTAAAAGTTCAAAAACTTCTGAAAGCAGTGAAGTTGATTCAAAGATGTCGGTTAAAGAAACATCAGAACTTGGCGAAAATATGAAGACGATAGAAAAGGAACGTGAAATATCCGATGAGACACGAGCGCCTCTCAAGCGTAGAGGTCGTAAACCATCTCGATCTAAACAAACAACTGAAGCAAATGTCGATTTGGTGTCCACGACAACAATTACAAAGACAATATTAGTTGAGGAGTTTTCAGATGACAATAAACCTATCCTTCTAACAAGCAAGCATGAAGAATCTTCCTCTGGTACAGTGCAGACAAAAGCCGATGCATCAGTTGCAACCTCCACACGACACAAAACAGAACCAGAATATTACACAAAAGTAAACTATGAAGTATGCATATCGGAGAGCGCAGAAACGGCACATGATGTCAAAACAGATAAGCATGTGAAGATTGTACTACCAGACCAAAGCGAAAAATTGATAAAAGATAGTAAGTACACTGACCATTCGGAAGCGGTGAGCAATGCTACAGGCCAACAATTGGCTTCATCTATTGAACTTGATAAAGAAATAGATGCCACTGAAGCTCCTGGAACTACTGATAAAGTTGAGGAAGTGCATGAACCAAAGCGAACACGGCGCACTCGCAAGGACTCCCAATCCAGTCAATGTTCTACACATGATGAAGATCATCTACCGACAACAACAACCAGACGGCGCGGTGGACGTCGACGTGCTGACACCCCACTTGAGCATATTGAAGTCTCAACCTCTGATCTGGCAACAGTTAAGCGCCGACGTCAAGGTCAAGACAAATTGGTCGAGGATAAGCCGCTAGAAGAAATACAAGAAGTACAAGTTGAGGAGATCGAAATTGTAATTGCAGAAGAAAATGATATCGAAGCCAACAAGACTTCGGAAGAGTGTCAAGCAAGTATAGCTGAAGAGCATAGTGGAGACATTGATAATGACGTTAAGAAATCAGACAACGATCATTTAGAGGCAGTCGTACGTTCCACTACTGGCAAAGAGGAACATGTTGATTCAGAAGATGCCTTAATAAAAAGTAGCACCAGCAGGCGGCAACGTATGGCGAAAGCAACAGATGAAATAGGTGACAGTATGGTTAAGGAATTACAACATAGTGATACTGATGAATTGTCAAATGTGGCCGCCGCTACAAAACGTGGCAGACGCAAGCCGACGCTTTCCGAATCGAGTCAAACTTCAGTCAATTCAGAATCTCTTAGCACCAAACGTCGAAGACGCGGACATAACGTAACTTCGGATAAATCTAATAGTAATGAGGCAATGGAAGAGACTGAAAATAGCCTTTTGCCTAAAATTACGGAGACATTACAAATTAGAGAAGATGATGCCACAACTGTGCCGGCGCTGCTCACCACAGCTAAAGCCGTAGAAGCTGAATTCTTAAGTGAAGCGGAAAACGCTGTTGAAGGAAACTCTGATGCAATCAAAACAGAAGTAGATCATAGCGCGGGTGCGGAGTCTTCGAAACGTATGGGAAATAAGCGGACACGCAAGGCGAGTAATAAGGAATTACTCGATGAAACAAGAGATATAAAGATAGAGGAGTCTCATGATGAAAAAGTAGTTGTGGAACAAGAACAACCCTTAAAGAAGGTCGCTGCGACAAGTCGCGCACGTGTTAATCGATATAAGAAACCCGAAGTAGATGACGATTACCATGAGAAAACAGAAGAACCTGATCAAGTTCACAAAGATGAAGTAACACTGGAGAAGGAAACTCAAAACAAAATTGAAGTGGCCGACCAAGCCGTTGTGGAGTTAACAAATACAAATGCAGACTCTGTAGGTGGTCGGCGAGGACGTCGAGGAGCAGCCGCTGCTGCTACCGTCGCAATAAATGAGGTATCCTCAGCTCATAAACGCAATGCATTGCGTGGCAAGAGCCACCAGAATAAATCACATGCAACGCGAAAAGAAGATGAAACAAATAAGACAGCGGCTAAGGAAGAACAAAGTGAAACAGCTACCGATCATGATGAGGCGCCGACTGTTGTTGATGAGAAACACCCACACAAAGCGGTACGCAGACGCCGTATTTCTCTAAAAGAAGTGCAGCCATCACACGCTGTTACAGCTGAAGAAGGTGAAGGTGTTGAACAATTGGAAACAGATGAAGTTGCAGGCCCATCGACGAAGGTTGCACCGAAGCGCTCACGCAAGCGTCGCGAGTCGCATCACGCGGATGACCCACAGCCGCTTAATAAGTCGGAAGCGCGAGACGAAACGCCAACATCTGTACCGGCTGAATCGCCCACCCCAACGTCAACGAAACACCGTAGTAGACGTAAACGCAAGGATTCGCATCAAAACATTAATGATGGAACTTTTGGTGATGAACCGCCAAAGAAACGTCCACTCAGTCGTAAGCGCCGCGACTCCTCGTTGGATAGTAGTATACACGAGGGAACTGGCATTGATATGGACACCAATCATGGAGCAAATACTTCATCTTCCTCAACGACGCCGCAACGTCCACGGCGCGCAGCTGCGGCTCAAGATCGCAACTATGACGAAAGTTCAGATGCTGAGGCGCAGGTCGATCTCAAGCGTCGTATTGAGAAAGCTTCGTTACCAAAAGCCAGCACTGGCGCTGCAACAGCTGTTTCTTCAACGAAACAAGGAAGTCCCACAAGGACTAAAACTCCCACAAAGGCAATGATGCCGGCAGTTGTTGCAGAGATTACAGCTAAAACAACGAGCACACCTATACTGTCTACAGTGATCACCACAAGTCGTGGGCGCCAACGGAAACCCACCGCGCGCGTGCAGCAGTACCTTGAAGAGGAACGCGCCAAAGCTGAGACGCCGAAGAAACGTTTATTGCTCGCTTCAGCCGCAATCGGCGAAACACCCACATCACAGACGGGCGGTACACCTGCACGTCGCACACGAAAGGCTTCCACTGTTGAAACAGAGAGGTCTGAAACGGTTCACACAATGGCTCGTGGTCGAACGCGCACCGCAAAGGTCTTGCACGTCGCAGAAACTACTGAAGAACCGCCTTCGGAAGTGGAACATACACATTCCGAGTTGGAAACAACACACAGTAGTAGTCATGTGGAAGAAAAAGAGCAAACAACAAATGCAAAGGCAACAAAACGTCCACCACGTGGTCGTGGCAAACAGCCTATAGTCGCGGTAGCAGCCGCTAACGTGGAAAGTGAAATTCCCGCTGTGCCAGCAACAACGGTTGCTACTTCAACAGAAGGAACACACACTGGCACCGGTCGCGCAGGACGCGCCGCGAAAGCAGCAGCTGCAGCAGCATTAATAACCGACGACGCGATTGGTTCACATACAAAAGCACGTGGAGGGCGCACACGACGTGGTGCAATCACCGTCGACGAAGAAGTACAACCAAGCGATGCCGAAGTGAAAGAAGTACGAACGGAAGTAGTAGTAACGCCTGCACAAGATGTTGAGCAAACAAACAAGAAAACGAGAAAAGCTGCGGCAGGTGGACGTACCGCTCGAGGCGGTCGTGGTCGTAAAAAACAGCAAGCCCTCGGGCATGCCACAGATGAGCACACATCGCAACACGCGGCAGATGGCGAAACCAGTAGTAATGATGTTTCACAGCAGCAACCGCAACATCCAATTATCGCAGATGCCGATGATGAACATGAAGACGATGAAGAAACGCTCACAACGGAAGCAGCAGATCTAGAGGTAGCTACATCGCTTGCGGATGCAAAATTAGCAGGTAAGAAACGTACAGCAGCCACGCGTAAAGCGGCAGCTGCCACGACCAGTGTTGCAGAGTCTCCAGTACCCAAGCGTGGACGCCGTCGTGCCGTTGCCCCTAACGCTGAGGAAAGTGATGCCGCCTTACAATTGGATACACGAGCCGAGAGCGCCGCCAGTAGCCGTAGCCGCAAAGTAGTTCGTTTTAATGCAGCCACGCCGTCAAGCGTGGCCAGCGCTACGTTGTCGGTGGATACAGCTGCCGAAGACACAGAAGAAATCACATCAGCGCCAACTGCGCCGGCCAAACGTGCCACACGCTCACGTCGGAAGTGAATGGACGTGGCAGTACAATAAATAACAAACATCTAGAATTAGTAATGTTTAGTAATCGTGCGCACCGATTAACACTTGTTTTAAGCATTTACAAATTTTTTCCATTCTCATTTTAATTGACTAACGATTTAATGTTTAATTTTCTTAACAAATAATGCATTTGCTTGGGCGGAGCATATACTGTACCCTATTAAAAAGCACAACAACATTTTGCGCCACAAATCCATGCATGCTCGAGATTTATATTATCAAGCAAGTAACACTAAAAATTCGATTTCATTATTATTTTTAAGCATTTTCAAACTTACTTTTTCTAAACTTTTAGTACATATTGTTTTTACGTTCTATTTTGATTTCCTTTCACAACACTCCCTTTTTGTAATCCAATTAAAATTAACAAAAATTGAAAAAGACAAAATTAATAATTATAATGAAATACATTTTGTTTTGCCGTCGGCATTTAGCGTAGTAGATATACATATATACACATACTCTACCATAAATACAAACTATAATTAATACCAACAAAATATATTGTACTTTTATGTCTAAAAAAATCATATAAAACGAAAACGAATAAATATAATCGTATAATAATTTTATGGGACATACTTTTTATTGAAATTGCGGAATACGAAATTGTTTATTTCACAAGTTTTGTAGGTTTAATTATTGTTATTAAATTTGAAAACTTCAACCGCCTGTAATTATCTGACACTAATCGCCACCGACTTACTCTTAGCACTCTGTCGGAGAATCAAACTCCATAAGGTCTCTCACTGAACAAAACCGCATTATTTTTATATCGGATATTTACTGAAAAAACGTTCTCAAACTAAATTTTATTGTGTGTAAAATGCACATATCCCTGCAGTAATACTTAATAATACCCTGACCTTGGAAAAGCTCGTTTGGCAATTACTTTTACGAAAAGCAATTAGTTGTGATTTTCAAACCGAGCGTTCCACGAGCTACTCTTACGGGCCACTCTGTCTGTCTCTAGATGCTATAATAATACCCTGAACATGGTATATTAACCCTTTGCACTCGAGCGGCGACGATACAGCGCCCAGCCAATTTGAAGTGTCAACTCAAGCGACGCCGATACAGCGCTCGACCGAATTTAAGTATGAACCCGAGCAGCCTTGCTGCAGCGCCGCAGTGCACTATGGTCTTTTGTAACTCGATCTCTTTATTTACGATTGGTTATTACGATTTGGCTATTGTTTTTCTAGATATCACACCAAAACTAACTACAGAGTGTAATACTTATCAAAGTTTATTGTTTTCGGCATCTAAACGCATAAACTAATGAAATTTTATTACTTGTAAACGCTAGTTTGTTTATAAATTTTTTTTTTTTTTTTTAAAGTACCTGTAAAATGTTGACCTAATTCGGCCGAAATCGTCTCGAGTTGCAAGCGAAAAAGGTCTCGAGTGCAAAGGGTTAAGTTTGCCACAAATTTTGTAACACTCAGAAGGAAACATCGGAGACCCTATAAAATATAGTATACATAAATGATCAGCATGATGAGCGGAGTCAGTCTATCTGTATATACGCGTACTAGTTTCTCAGTTTTTGACATATCAATCTGAAGCTTTTACACGCGTCCTTTTTACCCTTGCATTGAAAACTTCTTTCCGAAGCAATTGTTCAAATCGAACTACTATAGCATATAGCTGTCATACAAACTGCTCGATCAAAATTAAGTCCTTGTATGGAAAACTTTTTTATTTGTGAAGGGTATTAGAGCTTCGGTGCAAGCGAATTTACCGTTTTTTCTTGATTTTATCTCATATTAAAATCAGCGCAGTATTCAGCTTATAAACTGTGTTATGTAAACACAGAAAAGGTCTGATTGTGGAAGACGAAGGTGCAAAAATTCTTACCAGCAGCCATATTAAATTTTCTTTATACACAGCAAAAAAGTCTCATTCGCTGGAGTAATGAAGAAGAGCGTTTACGATATATGAAACCTGTGCGGTGAATAGTAAATTGTTATTGTTCCATAGTAGTTTTAGCTAGGAAGTACTGAAACATTGCCCAATATATTTTCAAGAACTATTTTTGTTTTGTACAACTACAAAATCTCCTGAAGTGACTGCTGATAAATGCGGCATAGTTAAAGGGCTTAATACCGTATATGGTGATTCGCATCAGTAACTCCCGTTACACATTAATCAAACAAATTCAATAACAAATTTTTTTTTCGACACTGGTAAATAAAAATGTGTTATCTTTATTATTTAATAGCTTCTTTTACATATAAGGACATACATACAAATAATTAATTACATACTATCGTACGTTTGAGCTTACATACAAATTTTTGGTATAACTAGACTGACATATATGAAAAGTACAATATGTATGTAAATTATTTAATTGCGGCAAAATATTATTGAAGCTTCTGTTGATTTTGTGCACTCGCAAAAGTTTTTTTTTCAAAAAAGTCGCAAATAAAACATGCATTAATCATTGAATAATATTAAATTGAAAAAATATATATATAGTTAACTAAAATAAATTATATAACAAATATAATAATAATAAACAATAAAATAAATAATACAATTTACAATAAAAAAATTTATACATAAATGCATATGCATGAGCATCAATATAGTAATAAGATAATTACAAAACTGTGTACACATAAACAGTGGATGCCAATTGTTTGAAGACCAAAATTAATTATTAGTTTTTGTAATAAATAAACTTATATAATAAAATTGCATCCTTCAAGTGTGAGTATATCACCGCTGTTGTACGAATTTAGTATTATCAAAATGTCACAGAAAATAATCATTGTGCTTAAAATTACAATCGGTTACAAAGATATGTTAGCAGACTAAAATTTTTCAATAAAAAAAAATAGAAACTAAATAATTTAATTTACAACTTTTTTAAAGTTTCGTTTTCAATTAAAAACAAAATAAATGTATATAAAAAAAAATACCGCAAATGCACTTTTAGACTTTGGAACATATCTACATTTATTAGATTTTATTTTTGATTATGCTATTTAATCGCACTCATTATATTTATTTTGTTTTTATCTAATTTTTTCGTCATATTTGGTTCGTTCTATTAAAAAATTATTTTGTACGCAATACTTTACAGCTTCTTATGTGATGGCTTTATGTAGAAATGACAGCGTCGAGTGAAAATATGGGATCTGCGGCTTAAAAATATTTACCTCTGATAAAATTAAAGAAGCAATAAGTATGAATGGTTTCGTATAAAAGCATAAGCGCATATGTAAATGCCATGTCAATTTGTGTGTCGTATTTGTGATGGCAGCAAAATATTTGTAAAAACGCATGTTTTTACATGGGTGCAATATAAAATTGTAGGGACGGTGTGGACACTACTTTTCAAGCAGATATGGAGAAAACATTATGGTAATAATAGTTCCTTGTACACATGGAAAACCGGAAAGCCAACCATTTGAATTAAGCTTTCATTAGGAGATGAGGTTCAGAGCGTAAAGAATCGGTTAGATATTGGGTTTTCATCGTCTTCTGAAAATAGCGTTTTTCGTTGGGCGAATTTACATTATATACTAGTGGGCGAACACCTACGTTGCGCCATAATTCAGCAATGTGACTGTAAATAAATGAATATATGATTGTAAAAAATATAATATTAAATTTATTACAATAACGTACAGATTAAATTCTTCCTTGCTAACAAAAACAACACTAATTCCGATTACAGGCGCAATGATATTGCGAAAAAAGGCGCCATAGATCGATGTGATGAGTGTTGACGCCTTTAAAAGTGCAAATGAAAGCGATTTCTCCGTCCAGAGTCCGCAAATTAATTCCGGATGTGATTTACGTAACTGAAATTTGTTAGATTTGCAATTAAAGCACAGATTAAATGCTATAATAAAAACGTAATAACAATGCAATCATTGCTTTACCTGGTAAATGGCATATGGTGAACGACTGATGAGTATTGTGCGTGATGTGAATTGTGCGTTAAATTTTATTGTAGCTCTTAATTGTTCTAACATGCGTACACTGTTGTCCAAAATATGTAAAAATACAGTTATGCGCTGTTCTTCGTCCAAAATTTGCAATAACTCTTTAAGCGTAAGTATTTGTTCAGCTTCAAATTGTGAGCTACAACGAAAAAATACACCATTATATATAGGTATGTGTGTAAAATTAGCTACTTGCTTGCTTACCCTAAAGGATGTAGCTCTGTTATATTCAATTTACGTAATTCATCCAATGTGTATCGTGCAATACCACCCATCAAACCGGCTCGTTCTAGAGTAGTACGATTTACTATCACTATTTCACCACACGCTGTCAAACCGGCCTCCAGCAGTATATTTCGATAGCCACGTGCCACACACTGGAATACATAGAAAGTTATAAATATGCTATTAATTAATGCATTCGTATGCATTCTTATTCGTGTGCACAAAGTATCAGAGGATATAAGCCGGTTATATTGATTTTTCATATTCAGGTTAGGTGATGTACATTTTTTCATTTTAATTATGTACCTTTTTGATTGCTGCTCTGGAGTTTTCGGGCGCATCATAACCCGCACCGCGATTAGCTATAGGCCAATAAGTTAGCTCTTCAGGTGCGCAACCGCCAAGTAATCTAAGCAATCGTTTTTCGTCTGGGCTACGTAACTTCGCGAACTTAGAAGCCACACAAGCGACCATCAGCACTAACGTCATCCAGGGAATACAGGCCGAGGCAAGATTGCAGGCAAACCAAAAAACATTAAAGAGCAGGGAGAGTAGTCGCGCCGAACACCATAGCAGTTGGTAGAGCATTTTCAGCAGCGTCCACAATACGTTCAGGATTCTCATTCAGCTGCATACATACATAAATCCAAAGGAGATCAAGTTCACTTTGTGGACTTATTGTATTATTCCACTACCTTACCTGGTACACCAAAAACTTAAGTTTGCCAAATGTATCCTAAAATGTGGCAGAAGTATATTTGCCACTCCCACTCACACTGGTAGATCGTTATTGGTAGCAATTGTAATCACCTCCTTCGAAATTCCTGCTAATTTATTCCACACTATTCCCTTTCGACACGTTGTACTTAAATTGCTATTTCCACCCTCGAATTCAAGAAAACTTGTCAACCTTTAAAATCCGTTCACAGCTCAAAAGTTAGTGTTAATTTCTGTTGCCAGGACATCCCACTATTAGCCGGTTTCTACACAATACACACCCTGGTTGGTCGAAATAAATGACCTTATTCTCTAATCATACAACTTTGTTGTTGTTTGTTAGGCAAATTTTGTAATAAGAACTAAATATCTTAAAGATAGACATATCAAAAGGGTCTAATAGAACGTATGACAGTAGCAAAGCAAATGTACTGATAAATAATATGCAAATACAAACTTCGTTCGCCCAGCCATCAAAAACGTTTAAAATTAAAAAAAAATTAAATAAATAAACAATAGATCTCTGCCTCAACATTAGTATTTGTTTAGCAATTATATCTCGCATCATTTTAAGTTAGTTTCGTTAAACATAGGAACGATGTAATAATATTCAAAGTAAATTTCAAAAATAAAACGGCTGTGTTACTCAATTATTTCTGGTCAAAAATTTACCAAAAATAAATAATTTACCTATATTAACTTGTACATGTTTTTTAAATTTATCAACTGAAATACCTAAATCATATCATAAAGTACAGTATTAAATCAAATTCAATAAGCGAATATAGTGCAAAATAAAGCTACTCAGCTGAGCAAGTGTGGAAAAAAGTAAATCCGTGTGATAAGGGCAACTATATGTGAAATTTGTTGGAAACAGCTGAAAAGGGGAAACATATTAGAAATATAAGAAAAAGCTCCAAAATGAATGGTGATAAATCAGAATACATAGGAAAATATTCCACAATTGCAGTAGTAAATTTTTTTTGGAGAAGTTATCGTGAAGATTTAATTTTTAAGAACGCAATTTGTGTAAAAAAGTTGTAAATTAGTAAGGAGTTGAATATAGTGTGTTTGTCAAATCTGTTTGAAATAAAATAATTGAACAAGCATAAAATGCCACTCAAGGAACGCAATATTGCCATGATGGGCTACAGCTCTGTGGGTAGGATATTAGGGTCGCTCGCTTCCTGAATTTCAGATATCAGAAATAATATAACAATTCAACATACGTACATTAATTTTATTTTATATTGTACTTCTTTATATTATCTTCTGAAATCTGTACAAACAATGCGTATACATCTGTACACATTGTCGCTGAAATAATATGGAACTTTTATATATTTGCTTTGTCTTATATTTATAATTTTACGTTCCTTCGTTGGGGCTAATGATCTATGATGTCTTTTGTGTTGTTGCCTGAAACTGTCTAGGCAAATCATCGTTGTGCATACAATTTGTTGAGGGTCAATTTGTGGACTCCTACGATCCGACAATTGAGAACAGTAAGTACATAACATATACAAATGTTCGAGGTTTGTGAAACATTATTAAAAGGTTAGAGTTGAAAGAATTTATCTATATGTTATTGGTATAACGGAAAGTATTATATTATTTTGAAGTGTATCTTAGCACATGTTAATTTTACGAGTAGGTTACGCAAAATTTTTAATGAATGACATCGATGTGCGCCAATGTGATTAATGTTATCGCTGTGACTGTTGACCTCGCCTAAATGAAAAAGATATGCACAAAATAAATTGATTTACTTTTTAGTAACTAGTTGTATAAAAAATACAGTTTATATTTTTTCTTTATCATTAGTTTTTTTTTTTGTTTAGTATTCAGTTTTATTTAGTATCTGATAATATATTTTTTATTTGCAAACATTTTGTATGTCACTCGCTCTTGGCTTATTTCAATAACTCAGACATATACATATATACATAGTATGTATGTATATGACCAATGGGGAAGTTGTTCGACGAGTGATCCGCTGTATACACAAGTTTGTTAAAAAACCTTGAAGAAAATTACGTTGTTATATTTGATTATTCTACAATTCATAATCTCTTTCTTACTTATATTTTAATGTTATACCTTAATTCCTAGTTCTTTACTCTAACTTTATGTTATTTATACGTATTAAACGTGTAAATATTTGATGTTATAAAAAAAATTTATAAATAATGAGTTACATATACATATATATAACTTAGTAGACGTGTTGTAAATGATTCAGCTGTTAGACATACATATGTACATATATGTGTGTATAGGTATGAGCGTGGCAAGAAATTTTGTTAGAAGTTTTTAGTCAATTACATACATATGTTTGTATATAAGAGAATTCACAAAGTTTCTAAGTATAATATTTTCACAAATAAAAACAAAAAAATATGTTCACTTCTCTTAAACCGAAGCTATAACACCCTTTACGAAAGATATCATACAAAAACTTAATTTTGATCGGTCAGTGTTTATGATATATGCTATACTGGTCCGATCTGAACATTCTTTTAGGAACTGTATCGTAACCTTAAATGTTTCATACCAAATCTCGTGAAGATATGTTGTCAAATAAAAAAGTGTCCATCAATTTGTATTATAGCTCCAATAGCTATAGTTTTCAGATCAACCCCCATCTGTTCAGAAAATAAAAACTTCAACCCCTATAAGAGTATCAACTTAAAACCGAAAACTAAAATATGTGGAAGTAGATCGCTTTGAATTATATAGATTAACAGCCACCACATATATTACAAAATTTAGTTGCTTTATTTTATACCGATATCTTGATAACCTATTGAAAATATACATTTATATCCGCCCAATTAATTTACCAAACAGTGTATCTAATTACTTTTGCTCACCTTAGCCTTTACGAAAATAGCTCGTGTAAATTCGCAGGACTACGATGTGAAAGTAGTTGATACAGCTGGACAGGATGAGTACAGCATATTTCCTGTGCAATATAGCATGGACTTCCACGGATATGTTCTTGTCTATTCGATAACCAGTCAAAAGTCTTTTGAAGTCATTAAAATCATTTACGAAAAGTTATTGGATGTAATGGGAAAGAAATAGTAAGTATAACATTAATCTATTATCTATTTGTTTTATTCAATTTCTGTATATACAATATATGTATAATTTTATAGTGTACCTGTTGTGTTAGTTGGAAATAAAACCGATTTACACCAAGAGCGCATGGTATCTACTGAAGAAGGGCGTAAATTAGCGGAATCATGGCGCGCTATATTTTTGGAAACCTCAGCTAAGCAAAACGAGGTAAATACTATACAAATTATATAATATAAATTGTTTTAACACGGTTTCAAATTTTAGTCTGTTGCTGATATTTTTCATCGGCTTCTCATATCCATTGAGAGTGAAAATGGTAATCCACAAGAGAAGAGCAATTGCATTATTTCGTGAGAACCCTATTTAAACCTAAATAACTGGTCACAACAACAGCAACGCCCTATTCCAATTCCCACTGCAGCATTAATCCACATCATAGCAGCAGCAGCATTAACTGTTACACCTAAAATATTAAATAAGATCATATCACAGTGGATCAGTGCGAACGAACTACGTAAGGAAGCGCTCCTTGGAAAGCTGCAGGGCATTGTAGGCGTGGTCGTAATCGTGGTCGCGTGTATGTGTGAACTATATGAATGTGTAGGAAAGAATGTTTGTGCGAGTTTTTCATATAACCCCCAGGGTAGTTGCCAAATTTTGTTCTTGGCACTATCGAAACAAAACATGATTCATAAGAAAATAGGTAAATACGCGAATTTCACTGCATCGATTAGCGTTGTAGTTTAAAAGTATAATGCAATAAAAGTTATCACATTTAAAAAAATACACATTATTCCTTAATAATGTTAACTTGGTGGAATGCTGCACATTAAATTCTGCATCGCTTGAATTTACAGGAGACTAACTTCATTGCCTTTTACTCTAAATTTGATAAATTTTACTGTTTTATAAATATTTCTTAGGCAATATTTACAGTTTAAGATATTATTTTTTATATTAAAATGTAGTTACATTTTGGTCTCTTGTATAATTTTTGTAATGTATATATTTGATGTCAACACAAATTACTATTACTCAAAACTTACAGTAATTTGACTGCACTAAGGAATAAAAGTATAGAAGCATAGGAATTAAAGAATGCTAAAAGAACAGAAATTAAAATGTAATATAATAATCTTTGTTTCAACTTCTTCAACAATAAATTACTAAATGTGGTCATTGATATATATTATTTCTAATAAAATGATACATTTTTATATTTAAGTTGAGTAGAGTTAATTATTTATTGTCAGAGTTTCCTCAATTTATCTTTGAAACACTTTAAATAATATTTATAATTCTTTTTTAAATTAATATCTCAAACTTGCTTGGAGAAAATAATTTTGTATGTGAAAATAAACTTCCTCTCAGAAATTCGAATTAACAAAATATATTTGAATTAATTATAGATAAAAAAAAATTCGTGTAAACAATTTATGCAGCAATACATTCTATTTTTATAGATTAATCTTTATATTTTACGATTTCAAAAAAGGGAAAATGATATTTAATTTTATATCTATGCTCTATTTCATTACTGATCTAAGGAGGTATGTTCTATCCAATGAAATAGGAAATAAAATGAATTATAACTTAAATTTTTTTAAATTCTTAGTAAAATTGTGGACGTTTGAAAGATTTCGTCAATAATATTGGTCAAGTAAAAAGTTCATTATACTCGTAGAAGGCTGCGTCCTTATTGGCAAAAAACTCCGAGAGCCAATTTTCACAGGCCTCTTTTAAGGCCAACTTCTCACCATTAAGCGCGTTCGCCATGGACAGGAAAAGATGGTAATCACTTGGTGCCAGGTTCGGACGATAAGGTGGGTGCATTAGGACCTCCCATCCGAGCTCCCGGAGTTTCTGGCGCGTCACCAAGGACGTGTGTGGCCTGGCGTTGCCCTGATGGAACACAATTCGTTCTCTGTTGATCAAAGATGGCCTCTTCTGGATGAGTGCTGTAGAGGGCCGAATTGAGCGTTTGGCCATAGGGGAGCAGCTCGTAGTAGATGATTAATTGCCAATCCCACCAAACACACAGCAAAACCTTCCTGGCCGTCAATCCGGTTGTTGTTGTTGTAGCGGCAGAATTCGGTCTTGGCCACCGCTTCCCCGCGCTTTGACCCCGACCGTTTGCGCTCGATGTTGTCGTAAGTGACCCATTTTTCATCGCCAGTCACAATCCGCTTCAGAAACGGGACGATTTTGTTGCGATTCGAGCTTCTTTTTGAATCCAAGGTCATGCAAACGGTTCCAAACGGTTTTCTGGCTTATCTTTAGTTCCTCAGCAATTAAATAACTGCTCACGTGACGGTCTGTTTCCACTATTTCCATGATTTTATCGCAAATTTCGACGACAGGCCTCCCAACGCGTGGTGCATAATTGACATCGAAATTACTGGAACGGAACCTAGCAAAAGACTTTTGTGCTACACGTTCGTTTACAGTATCGGGCCCATAAACTAAATTAATTTGTTCAGCCGCTTTGGCTGCTTTTTCGCCTTGATCGAAGAAAAATTGTAAAATATAGCGAATTTTCTCTTTACTGGTGTCCATCTTTGACGTACTGAGTCAAGCAATCGAAAAACTGTCAAAGATAAACTTTTAGCGCGAATAAACACGTTTTCAGCGCCGTATAGTATGGTATGATGCGACACGTAACACTATGGACAATAACGCCATCTCTTAGATAAAAACCGAACGAACTTTTTACCAGATCTAATATTATTAAGTGGAATATGCTATGGCCTTGGCAACCCTAATAAATGACTCACAACAAATTTTTGTTCGTACCATCTTATTTTTTAACTGCCGTTTTGGGTAAAAGAAAGATGAAAAAATATATATATTTCTTTCTTTTCAACACATATAAAATTGGAAGAACGCTTTATATTTGTCTTGGTTGCTCGACAAACACGGCAATTGTGAAACGGTAATTAAAAAAAATGTCCCATAATAATCGCAATTTTGAAACGAGACAACAACCAAAGTGCTGTTGTTGCGGATTGTGGAACATTTTTTATGAAGATAATAAAGAATATTTTCTATAAACTGCAAAATTATAATAATGAAATAGGATTGGAAAGCAGATTATAATAAAAACTTACGAGTTGTGAATAGTGTCCTCTATAAAGTTAAGGTCAGAAATTGTTTTGTGCTATGTTTTTCTGGAAACCATAACATTTGTGAATTTAAAAGTGTGGTTGTGCATTTTGAGTTGAATTATTTTTGTAGCAAGGAATATACATTAATTAAAGATACAATACAAACGTTACAGATAAACCGAAACTTACAATTCTTTAATTTTAACAAAGCTTATCTTTACGTCGTTATTTTCGTGTATATTCTACCCCGATATAAATACATTCACGGAAACTACCGCATACAAACGTCAGCGTTCTTCTATTAAAATTTTGTGTGGTTGCTAGCAAAACCTTGCAGCTGTTCGTCATCAGAGCGGGCGGTGAAAAAGAGGTTCTTCTATTGTGTTGTTGCTTTACAGTTTCGTATAAGTCGTATATTTTTAAGCCTTGGGTGCGCAATAAGAAAATAAGTTAAAGGAGTATACAACTGTTACGTTATTCTCTGGATCTTTGTTGGCATCCATCAATAGCAAAGCGTTTAACAGGTATGCATCAGTTTTTAGCTTAGCGGCTCACCATTCTGTATTCGTTGTTAAAACAGAACATTTTTTAATTGCGAAAATATAATAAAAATTATACAAGGAAAACCGATATTTTTTTATGGTAGCCGTTCTATTTTGTTTTATATACACTGAACATGCTATATTAAGTTTGCCACAAAATTTGTAACACTTAGAAGAAAACGTCGGAGATGTCACGAGCTGAGTATATTTAGTCTGCCCGTCTGTCGTATATACCCAAACAAGTCCCAAAGTTTGAAATATCGAAATTCAAGTCCTTGTATGAAACATTTTTGTGGAAAACTTTAGTATACAGTCCCAGGCTTTCGGGGATAGAATGGGTATGGCCGGATAGAGGAGATCGTCCAGATCAAGAATATATATAGCCGCGGGAAACTTTCGAGATATTTACGTTTAAAGTTGAAAATTTCAACTACGCACTTTTTCAATTTCAAATGAATTATGAACTTATATTTTTTACTTTTGTATCCATTTTATACCCGAAAGCCTGGGACGGTATACTAAAGACGACCCATTTTTTTATTCGACGAATTATCTTTCCGAAATTTGGCTTGGATAATTATTGTTGTTGTTGTAGCGGCAGAATTCTACTGAGCTGACGGTCCTTGGCCGGATAAAAATTCGGGTCCGTTCCGGTTACTTAGAACCGACTGTCGTTGTCTAGGGAATAGGTACAATCGCCGAACAAATTGTTCAATTCGGTCCACTATAAGATGTAGCTGTCATACAAACTGGACAATCAAAATCAATACCTAGTATGGAAAACGTTTTTATTTATACGGGTATTCTAGCTTAGGTGCATCCGAAGTAAACGGTTTTTGTTGTTGTAATTTTTTTTTTTTTGTGGTGGCTCTTGTTTTGAAACGAGGTATTTTTTCAATAACTTTATAAGATTATAGAAAGATGTTTTGTGATGTAAATTTAAATACTTACGTTTATGTGTATGTAAAGTGCAAAGCATAGGTTTCGTGGGGAACAATTGCACACGTTTGGAAACCTGTTTTCAATTTGTTTTTAATTTGTCGTTTTTATTCGTTATTAGTTTTTGATTCAATTTTCTCATCATAGATTTGTGGTCTTTATATGTATGTATGTGTATATACTTATACATATGTATGTAGATGATGAACATTTACATTCGTTTTTTCTCGGTTAGTCTAATGTTTATCAGCTCTTTTCATGATTTCATTCAAATAAAGTCTATATCGAACTATAATTAGTTAAAAAAAAATTTTTTTATACTCTTACCTTTGTGCCAATAAAAGTAAAGATAATTAAGCATCGTGTAGATGTATGTACATAAACATGTAGATTTATCAATAAAATAAAACAATCAAAATCAGAAATTCAACTTATGTCGATATACTTATCTCTGGAGTGTTCGTCAATTTTGCCAAGTTTGTCGCTGTTCTTCACGATGTGTTAAACTTTTATCTTTTACTTACATTTATTCGCATATACAAACATACATACATACTGCTGTCTTGAAAAAACATGTGCAAATATTACGTAAATAAAAAATTTGTTGTACAAGTAGTTTATAATTTAAAATACACTCAAGAAGTTTTTAACTGTATTTACTCTTTAAACACTTCTTTCAAGATGAACGACATATAGATAGTTTTATATGTGCCGAAGTTTACTTACATATGTATACTACCTTCAAGCAGAAAGTATTTTATAAAATCGTATTTATTGTCTTATGTAGGACGCATTGTTTGAATGCATATAATTAAAAGTTAATTACCTCTAAATTACAGATCCGCTGGTTTTCGTCTATATAATATTATACGTAAACAAGTTGAATTAAATTTGAATTGTACTTATTTATGAAAACCTTCAATGTTTTCTCATCCCCAAACGGGAACAGCTATTTTTTTAACATTACTGTAGATATGACCGTATGTGTATGTATGTGTATAATTTTTTTTTTTTTTAACGATTTTCTGATAATTATTCACAAACATGCGAAATACCTTATTTGTTTCTGGACCTAGCATTTATCATCATTTTATTTAAAAAAAATATAGTTAATCTGCACAAGTCGAGATTTGTGATAATTTGCATGAATAGTAATACATGTTTCACATTATTTAAGTTTATTTTAATGCATTGCCATTTATATATTGTATTATTTATTTGTAATTTCACTAAGTAATTAATCACATTATTTGTTCTTCTAAACACAAAAGCTTAATAAAATAACTGTTTAATGAAACATTTTATAAGATTTTGAAACGTAATAGAGAGAAAGTTTTGGTTTCTATACAAAATTTGTTTTTGGTAGTAGTATAGTGGAAATTAAAATCGCCGGTCAAACAAATATCTGTGACAAAAACACCGTTTATTCATACATTTTATAGACTTATGACCAAAAAGATTAACTATTTCACAAAAGTTAATTCTTTCAAATGAAGAATAATACGTACTCGTACATACAGAGAAGCTTAAGTTAAGTCATTGTATGTTTATGTATATATTATTTTATTTTGCTTTTATTATATGCATTTACTATAAATAAATCTGTACATTTGTATGCTTGAATACCCATAATATTCAAATGATGTTCGCTCTCTACTTGCTTTCTCGCTGGTTTGGTTTACGCCGATGCGGCCATAGGTGAATTTAATTAATACAATTGCATTTGTTCATTTGCCTTGACTGTTTCTCATTGTGATTTTTAAATATGGTTGCTTTCACTTCGTACCACTCGCCCTCGCAATTTAAGGTATTCCATTTTATTTTTACAATTCACATGTTACTTGTACCATTGGTCGCAACAACACTGTTTGAGCATATATTCGTTCATATTAACAAGAACGGTTTTATTTATTCTCCGATGCACAATACATTTTTTGTTAAAAATAGGCTCAAGAATCTATCTTAAACCAATTAAATGGCGCCAATTAAACGACCATATTGTTGGAATGAAAAATTCCATTGTGGTCATATAAGTCCTAACGATCACTAATAAAATCATTGCAATGCAGATAGTATTTATTACTCGAGTGACGGCCAGTGCTAGTCAAAATGTATTGTAATTTCTCATATCTGCTTGTTTTAATTGGAAAATACAAATATCGGAATAAAACTTTCTTAATTTGTTGCTTGTTATCTTTCGTAATCATTTCGGGTGAGAACGGCCACCTCTTAAGTTATAGAAATGTGTCATTGTGCGGAACACTATTTACAATATTAATTTGACCGCATACACGATATGTAAATAGTGGATATACATACATACGAATATACGTATACATATGCCGGTATTTCTTCAGGTGCTTTCTTGTAATTTTTTTCTCCCACAATTTTTGTATATACTATGTGGTTTTGGTAAATATGTGTATATATGTATATGATTTATTGGCCAGTTTACTATTATCATCGCTCTATTTACGCAAAGTTTTTTTTTCTAACTTACATGGACATTTGCTCACATAGAAATGTTTGAGTTTTCAATTTACAATTGTTTTTATTTTTTATTTATTTATCTATTGCATGCATTGCACATTTATACGACCTTGAGGTGCTTCAACCATACAAACTATTGACTTGATTTACTGTGAATTGCCGTGTGTCTGCATATGTATATTTATAAACTTACATATGTAAATATATACATATTTAGTAGCATATACGAGTACAATCAATCGTAAAGCCGTACACAAAAACTATATTTTGTTGTACTACTTTTTTTATATATGTAATTAAGAGTTATTTGTATTGTACTTATAATTGGCAAACTAAATATTTCACATAATACTAACGTATGTAAATAAGTAATGCAAATTTTATAGCGAAATACATGCATATATACCGTAAAAAATATAAGAGTAAATTTTAATTTAAAATATATTTATTTTACTTTGCGAAAATCAGTCATGAAAAATACTTTTGTTTCGCGAGTTGAAAATGTATTCACTCAATAAACAAAATATACAAGCTATCACTATTTCAAATATATACGTTTTAGTATGACACAGATTTTTTTCGGAGTTTCGTGTTGACTTGTATCGCTAATTTTGTTATTTCTATTTTCAAACGTGTTTAATTGTCTAAGTGCAATTTACTTAACTAAAAGTAATTGTGATAGATATATATATATATATATATTAATGATCAGTATGACGAGGCGAGTTGAAATCCGGGTCACTGTCTGTCTGTGCAAGCGGTAGCTTGAGTAAAAATTGAGATATCTTAGTGAAACTTGCTACAAACATAAGTTTCTTGGCACCCAAGATAGGTATTGCATATGGGCGTAATCGAACTACTTCCACGCCCACAAAACGCGATTAAACGAATACCCACAAAGAGCCATAACTAAGCACTAAATTGAGATACATTACTGGCCCCGCCCCTAAATAGTTTTATGTACATATGTACATGTCTTCCAAATTGCTGAAGCTAAATCAACCGACCTTTTTTTTAGCACTTCTTCATACGCTGTGAAAATGAATCAGATAATAACCACACCCACTCCCCATATAACGGTTACGTTGAAAACCATTAAAAGTGCGATAACTCAATAAATAAATGCGCATAAAGTATTAAATTTGGGCGTGGCACCGCCCACCTTTAGGTGAACTCCTACATCTGCGGAAATACTTTACCGATTTTAACCAAATTCAGTGTGTAAGGCTACCCAATCATTCCTATTAGACACAGTGTACACAAATGAATAATGAAATTTAGGAAGAGTCTTTCTAATAATATTATATCTTCTTGCTTGTGATTGTAAATAATGAATGCAATACTTCCTATTTTTAATTAAAATATATACGAAAATCCCATATACCACTTAACCTTGCGAGAGTATAAAATGTGCGGTTACACCCGAACTTAGCCCTTCCCTACTTGTTTTCTAACAAAGTTCGTTATAATTATCACACGACTCCCTCTATTTTCCAATTATCTTTGACACTTTTGAAAGAAAGGTTTTGCCAATTTCTACTTTTACCCACACTATAAATTATTTCGTATTTTTTGTGTTTCTATTAAATTCCTGGAAATGGGTGTTATTTTTTTAATAATATTTTGGGTTTAAACAAAAGTCCGCTTTTGTCATTTTAATAATACATCAACACATCGTACATTCGTATGCTGGCAATTATTTAGTCGCAACAATAGGTAGACGGAGGAATGAATGTCAAAGCCACCGTCCCCCTCTAAACACCGCCCCCAGTTCTACTTACATACATATGTACAAAAACATACCAATAACATACATGCATATGTTCAAACATTTCATTTATTCTTATTTTCCACGTTGCGAATTTGTGTGTGCTTTTTTTTTTAAAAATGCAAATAACCCGCGATACCCGTGCCCGGCACGACGAAACACGAGTCAGTAAAGTGGCAGATCAGTCAACAAACAGTCGGTCGGCCAATTACATGCCTGTATGTAGTTAGCGGCAGTTGACGATAATGCAATGGCCTCAAAAACCGGAATGCGTTATCAAAAAATAGGCAGCAATCAAAGAAAATATATATAGATATATATATATACAAAGTATACAAAAACAAAGAAAATGAAAATCGATAAATGTTGCGTAAAAATATGAGTTATGAGAAAAAAGTAAGGAGTAGTCTCTATATTTTTTATTCGTTATATTATTTGATGTCGACTCTAAACAGTTTATATAATACACTAACGAAGTAAGATGAGAAATATTTCTGACCACATTAAACATTATATGTGTGCGTGGAATTAAACCTCGATGTGCGATGTAGGTACTTCTAGGGTGACGATAACAATATAATTTTTAGAAAACAACGCACAAAGTTGCAAAGTAATAATTTAAACAATATGCGTAATGTCATGCTTAAAACAAGAAAAAAACATTAACTTCGGTTGCACCCTTTACAAATACAAAGGTTCCTTACAAGAACTTGATTCCGATTTAATTTCGTGAATATGCCTCGTAAAATAAAAAAGTTTTCCATACCAGCATTTGCTTACGTTTGTTCAGTTTGTATGACAGCTATATGCTATAGTGGTCCGATTTCGACAGTTTCGACAAATGGGCAGCTTCTTAGTGAGAAAAAACAGGTGCAAAATTTCAGATCGATATCTTAAAAACTGAGGTACGTATATACAAAAACGGACGGACATGGCTAAATCAACTTAGTTCATCATGCTGATCATCTATATTTATATTTTATAGGATCTATGACGTTTAATTCTAGCAGTTAAAAACTTCGTGGCAAACTTAATATACCATGTTCAGGGTAAATAAAAAAAGAATCCAGATGTCAACAAATGAAAAGTTTTGCCTCAGTTTATATTTCCATTACCGTAGGTAAGTGTATAAGGAACTTTTATAATACTACTTATACCGTCAAAAAGCAGTATTATTTGAAAATTATACGTCTTTTGTGTGAAGGAGTGTGTTGTAGTGATTTTTATATACCAAAAACAACGTTTTTGTTCATGTTTCGGCCATCGACATCCAAACAGCATATTCACTTGCTAATAGACAGATGTGTAAATGATAGAATGAGCATCACGAATTGAGTGTTGGACAGACATCTGTTAACCGATTGATTTGCCCTCAAGAAGTCGCAGTTTATGCGATCAATCAAATCAATATAGAGGCTCTAAAATGATTTCTTTGTCATAATTTAAATTGCACAATAACAGTTTCAATTGTGTCGCCTATCGGTCATTCCCACTAACTCGTAAACAAATATATCTACACAAATTTATTGCATATATAAACTATAATATATATGTACGAGTATATTTATCTATGTATGTGTATATATTAAGTAATTTTATTATTGTGGCGCCAATTATGTCACCAGCGATCACCTTTCGCGTTTGAGTATTTTATTTTATATTATTTGCAAGCCATTGTCTGGCCGCACAATTTGGCGGGGTGTTTTCCTCTAAAAAGGGGTGTCATAGCTAAATTTATTAGTATTTCTATCTCGATATGAATGTTGTCTATAAACGTAATAGAAATTGCGTTGTAAAATCACGAATTCAGACCAATTGGTGCGCATTTCCTGAAATTATAAAATCAAGTGTATCTAAGTATATGTGTGTGTTATTATTATTATAATATCATGTAAATATGTTTACAATATTAATTTCTAATTGCATTATTTACGCGTGTAAAAATCTGAACTTCTGATTAATTCACATCTCTAACACTATGTTCACACGAGGACTCTTTTTGTCGCCAAACACGGTTTTTATAGGCGATTGACGACGAACAAAGACGAAGGGAGCGTACCGCTTGTGTTCGGGTGACAAGCTTTGTATTCTTGTGCGTAACCAGTCTTTTCATGGTTGCAATAGCGCGCGGTTTTAAAACAATATTTACTGAATGCGGAAATATATAAATACAATACAAAATAATACAAAAATTTTAGAAAAGAGTGAATAAACAGTATAATTTTTTTGCACTGTACAAGAATTTGAGAATATGATATGAAAGAAAATGCATACAACTGTTCGACTCAAGTTATCGCACTCGTGTCGCTCGTGTGAATGCAATGAACGGCCAAAAAAAAGGGAATTTGCCGATAATAAGCGACAAAAGAGTACTCGTCGGAACACAGTCTAAGCAAGTAGTTAGACAAATACATATTCCGTTCGCTCGACAGTCGGGTCTAAGTAACTGGAACGGACCCGGATTTTTATCCGGCCAAGACCGGTCAACTCGGCACCATTCCTCAAAATTTTACTATAGGAATGTTTTCTGCCACTACAACAACAACAAATACATATTTATCTTTATGCGAACTTGAAAAGTCCTAAAAGTAGTTTATTACAGTAACATTTATATGCAGTAAATTGACTAGACATCTCTGCTAAAATGGGATGTTCTAATAAGCTAATACATAAGTTTTTTTTTTAACATTTTCTGTCATCATTTGCAAATATGTTACGAGTACTCTTACATAATTCATTCTATTCTTGTGTTTTTATACAAATGCCATAGAAGAGTTGTTTGTATAACGTTTTTTATAAAACCAACTCACCAACAATGTGCTTTCAGTCTCAAAATTCTGACATACTCCAGTAGTTGCAAGCCAATTATGGTATGCCATTATATTTGAGGTTTATAGAAAACACCATATCTAAGAAGTTCTTTGTGAAAACTTTTAAACCTTCGCCATCAGAACCGATTTTCCGATGAAAACAAAGATATTTGCATTTTTAATACCAACTTCTCTTTGTTTGACTTGTCATGAAAGTATAAAAAAAGTTTCAGATTTGTACATACCTACATTTGCTGGTAAGCACTGCGTTTGTCATTTGAAGGTCGTTTGCATTCAAAATGAAATTATTAATTTTTACTCCCTTCTCTACTAACACTTCAACAATTCGGTAAATTTTTGCAATGCATAGTTTATTTGTATTAATTTGTAATTACGTTCATTAAGATAAATGTTTTAGGAATTCTAATTCAACTACAGATTTCCTGCTAACCACCGTCGTTTACTGATTGCATGCTTCTGTGTTTTATTTTATTTACGCCGTCATCGTTGTTGGCTTTCTTATCAGCTGAAAGTTAAATGGGCGAATTTTTACGATGCATAAACAGTTCAACGGCAACAATTTCAAAGTGAACACAAATTTCTCAGAGCGCTGCAAAATATTTATTATTTACTTAACATTTTATAAGACTATTACTGAGAATTGGTTTTGGTTTTGATTGCGTCGTCATTGTCAATAATTTCCTAAATTGTATTTTGTTAAAATTAACACAAAGTAAGTGCTGTGTCTACACTTACTGAGTTTAGAGTGACTTATTTTATCCACTACATATTTAAAGCCAATATCAATTAACACTTGTTTTTCCCTTTTTAGAATCACTTCCACCTCTTTTTTGAGATATAATAAAACGTATTAGTATGACGATTCCATCGCGTCCAGCGCCTGCACCACCAGTGACGCGCGGTCAAAATGCTGCCGCCGGTGCTAATGCAAGTATCGAGCAACTACGCATACAATTGCAACAACAACAAATACATCAGCAACAGAATCGTGGCGTACAGAAATTGACTATAAGTCTACCACCACCGCCCAAAGGTTCGATTGCAATGCCCACGGTTAATCGCAATAACAGTATCAGTAGCAACAACAACTATAACAGCTTTAACATGAACAGTCATCAGTCGGCGATAACACGTAAGTTTCCACAAGCACGCTACACGCCCACCACAAATTGGGAGGATGATCCTTTCGGCGCCAATGCGGCAGCTGCTGCCAATACGAATGGCAATGGCAAAAAGGTTCCACCACCACGGCCACCACCACCGAAAGTGCAAGTGAATGGTCGTAGAGCGCCTCAGCCACCAGCCACACACTCAACAAAATTGCTGAGCAATATTTTCAGAAGCAAAAAAAGCAGCAGTAGTAGTATTAGCAACAATAATAATAAAGCCAATAAGGTATATGGTGTCAGCAGCGGTGTTTATGCCATTAACAATACATCAGTGTCAACAACAAACAGCAGTAGCAGTAGCACAACTACGTGGGCCACCACAAACAATGCAACAAATAGTTGCAACAACAGCCAAAGTTGGCAGGCTAATTGGAATAGCAGTTATTCGTCCACATCGCTTACGTCTCTGAGTGCTGGAAATGCCGGTGGCGCAAGTGCGCCGAGCACAACCGAAGCACAACTGATCACTTTCGATTCACCACCAAGTTCGCCAACATTCACACAGAAGTCAAATAGTGATTGCCTTAGCGTTGATAGTTTCAGTTCGGATTCGAATTTCAGTTCGGCCAATAATGGTAGTGTCTCCCAACCGGAAAGCGGTTTTGAAGATGATTTTAGCGCACTCAGTCGTCCAGCCACTACTACTAGTCCGCTTGATCCTTGGGAGGCTTTTGATAGTGGTTTCAATACAGCAGTCGACAGTATTTACGGTTGTACGGCAGCAACGAATAGCATTGGTACTGCACCGGTACGCAATCTAAACACCATTAATTCGCGCATCCAATCAAGTAACGACAATCCGCTCTGTAATGGGAAAAGTCTTCTACCGCCGACGCCCACACTTAGTGCACCAACAATTATCAAACCAAAATTATCACAGAAGCCACGTGCACCTAAACCGCCGGTGCTGCAGATATCGCAGTTCACACTTAGTGGTGATGACACATCACAAACGCCACCATCGCCTCCTATGCCGATATGTGCACCACCACCGCCACCGAATGGTGTATCATTGCTGGCCGTCATATCAGGAAAAGCGGATGCATTGCAATTGAACATTGGCGCTATTGCAGAAGAAACGAATCCACATGGCGTAGCGCTATACGACTTTGATGGTGTCGAAGAGGGCGATCTCAGTTTTCGGGTGTGTATGATGTGCAATATCATGTTCAAGCTTTTATTTATATTGTTTCTTTTATGAATCTGCAGGCGAACGAGAAAATCTGTATCTTGAAGCAGGTGAGCGCTGAATGGTATTGTGGTCGCACGCGTTCAGGCTGTGAAGGTATTTTTCCTATAAATTATATCGATGTTAAAGTTCCGTTAGTGGAGCACAAAACCAAAACCAAGCCGTTACGCGTACGATGCCTCTATAATTTCCCAGCCGAATATGACGGTGATTTGGCCTTGAAGGTAAGTGTAACAGTTTACTGTTATTGCATGCACTTAAAAATCCGTTTTGGCTTTAGCTTTTAGAAGAGAAGAAATTATATAATGCCCACAGCAAATGTTAGAAAAATATATGTAATTTTCTTTTACATTGTATTGTTTTTGTATTAAGTATATATATATTTATATATTAATATTGTCTACAATATTATTGTTATATAAATAATTTTTATTGAAACTCACATTTTCTACTTTTCTACTAATTGCAGGAAAATGAAATAGTGACCATACTGTACAAAATTAATGAAGACTGGCTTTTTGGTGAAGTGGATGGTCGACAAGGCCAATTTCCAGCGAATTTCATTGAATATTTACCCGACAACATACCGATGGCATAAGCAAGAAGTTTGAAATGTATTACTATACTATACCAATATTGCATACATACATACATATATACATATATGATGATAACTATGAAATGCTACGCACTTAAATAATTTACATATATATTTGAAATACCTTTGCTGTTTAGCACTTGTCCAGCTAACGAATTGTGTAGTACCCGTAATTTATATATAAAATAATTTACTCGCGGAACTATTAAGTTGTGTCTCGAAAATCTTGAAGATGGAAAAGTTGGCGCGTTGCTACTTGGAATTGAAAATAATATATATTTTTCCAGGATGTGAAAACAACAAAATAAATATACTTTCTTTATATAGGAGTTTACATTTATAAGAGTAAAAGAAACTGTGTACTTTAAGTGATTTAGTGTTTAACTAACGCACTGTAATGGTACTAGTTCTTAACCATAATAATATTTAAATCAAACATCACACTGATTGTCATATCAAACAAATTTTTTGCAACACAAAAATCGAAAAACCGATATCGATATAAAAGCCTTTTGTACTAGTATTTAAGGGCGTAGTAAATGTAAAGAATTAACGTCCACATCACACGCTTAAGCAATGAAACTATTGAATTTGTTCCACACACACAAACGTAACTATAATTTATACTTATACTTAAATAAATCATATATCAATACACCTAACTTAAATAGTACACATACAACAATAATTTCCTGCACACGATGGTCATATAAATACCTATGTGCTCTTGTGAAGAAAAGTTATCAAAATGTACCCATTTGTTGCAAGAATATCTTTTAATTTGTATTGAATCGTCGCAAAAGTAGATGTGATTGTTGTATATATAAACAAATATTAAGACAAACAAATTATTTAAATTTAAAATTAATAGGCGCTTGTTATACTGTTTCATTTTATTGATAGCTATTTGTTAATGATTTTCTCATAATGTTACGCGCAAGTATAAGTTATATATTAAATATATATATATGTATTATTTATGTTAAGTAATCTTATTAGCTGTAGTACATGCACGGTACGGTTAAATCTAAAAAATGCAGCACTTATACATTTATACATAAAATATACAACAAAATAAATAGATATACAACAATAACCAATTGCCACGATTTACAAGTATATTTGTATTTATAGCGTTGAGTGCGCTCCAAACCGATTGTGCTTAGTTAGTTTTACGTATACAATATTTAAAAAAAATTAACGAGTCAAATAATATACACATACTATAACAGCAAAAATACAGATTTGTTTTAAGCTTGATCATTTTCTGCAATGTGCACGAAATAACAAACGCAGCATAGAGCATTGAACAACATTCCACTAGAAAAGAAACATCCACCCTCTTTCAAACTTACAGACACTTCAATAAAAGAACAGGTCTACAGTTGTTTCATTCTTACAAAGAGCAAATATAAAATTTTGTGTTAAACTGGAGAAAAAAATCGCTGAGGCATACGAATTGATGAAGATGATGATGATTGTATGAGTTGTACTCAAGTTTATACGTGATTTACACCATTTAAAAATGGTCGTGAGGATTTATATGTTGCGCAAAGGTCAGGTCATCCAGAAGCTGGTAATCGTGCAGAATGGATAAAAAAGTCCGTAAAGTTATTGGTACCGATACAAATTTTGCTACGAGAATGTTGGCTGTGGGATCAAATACGAGTAAAAATATAATTTGGAGAATTTTAATTGACTATTTAGGCAAATGCAAGGTATGTCTATCACCATTTGATTATATTTCCAAAACCGAACAAAAAAATGAAAAGACCATTTTATGATGACATCCCAGATATTCAAGCAGCTGTTAATAGGGTGCTGAAGACCCTATAAATGACATAAAAAGTCTATGCATGCGCTCGTTGATGGTTCCAGACGTTTAAGTTATTAAGTCAAATAGAACCTATTTTAAATAAAGAACAACTTTCAAACAAATATTTATTTTATTTTATATCTAAAAAGTGCGGTTATTTATATACACACTTTACATTCGTTCATATGGAATATTAAGTGTAAATAATAAAGATAAAAACGGCGGTCTGACTAAGGCATTTTAAAGCGTTTTAGAAAATTATTACCGCGTTATATCCGATTGCAGTTTACCCTCTCAGTCAGTTTATATATTAACATACTACACTCTTTTGAGAAATCTTTTACGCAGTCATAGAGAGATACTCTAGCAGATAAAACACCAAACCACAATATTCCATTCGGTTTGTACAAAGCTACAGCATATGCTGAATAAAATGGATGAAATAATGCTGACAGATGTACACGAAATATAAAACTTACCGTTTGGCAAGCGCCATTTTAATCCCACAAACAGTTATTAGGGAAAAATGTCCGTTATCGCATCTTTTTTGAACATCCGCTGTGAATGATGTGAACAGTATCATTTTTCTTATTGTGAATTCAAAAAGAAGAAGAAAGTTTATTGATTTGCTGTCTTCGCAGTGAATGCTGTTGCATACACTTAGGCGTAACTAATCAACATTCATCCAGAGAACATACAACAATAAGAAGTTCTGTGAACACACCTTTCGAATAATTTGTTTTCATAAAAAGACCACTACAACAATTATTGTATTATTAAATTGAACAATTTTAAAAGTGTTTTAGAAAATTTTTATAAGATAAGAACATTTTCATTAATAACCAAAGTATACTCATAAAAATATGTCGCATTACCAAAGCGTACCTGACACAGGAGGTGGGGTTGATTAGTCGTTAAATTTAATATATGTACATTTTATGGTATCACATACAATTTTTTAATTTTAATCAGACGATTTGGACAACGAATCCGTGGAAGTGTTGCGTGCACGGCTAAACGACATGAAGCGATTGATGAGTGAACGCACTGCCCAAATACAACAGAATCCGGCCACTACGGAGCAAATATGGAGCACTAAACGACAAACCGCGACAGGAATTATCGATGGCAATTTCCTAAGCGTTGCTTTTGGAGGCGCTCTATTGGTTATCGTTTCGGTTTCAGTATACGCATTTTACAATTTATATCACGCAATATTAAAGAAATTCCCCTCACATCATGAAGAATTGTAGAAAGTTAAATGTAATTTAGCGTTACGAGAAAAGACGGTATACACACACATGCATAGTTCATAGTTGCTCATACAACACACGCACATGTATTCTTATGTCATATGAAAATATGATATCTGTGGTGTGTTCAAGTTATACTGAAGTTTATGGGTTACGTACATATATGTTAAACTAACAGATTTTATATATGTTTGCGAAAAAATATTGTATCACATCATTTTATTAAAATCATTTATATATTAATTAAATTTGAAATAATAAAATAAATATGTCTTTGTTTTGAAACTTTGAACGTTTATTATAATTTAATAATAATACACGTTCTGTGATTCACTCAAAGAACGTATATCATTTATAATATACGTTCTCTGATATACGTTCTCTGGTGTTCTCTTCAATATGTCACTTGCCGATAAAAACAAAACGAAAACGCAACTGATCACAACACGTGCAACCAATTTCAATTACAACTTGCGGTCCTGCTTATTATCATCAATTAAGAATTAGCTGTTGCGAAAATATCTTAAATTAAACCAAAAGTGTACATTTATTAATTACCTATGGGTTTGACGAAGCAGTATTTGGCCTATAGGCCTGTGGACAGTTTCAACGTTATCAACAGTGGTCGGGCTAATGTCAATTTTGTTATCTACAATAGAACTGAGGGCCGATATGCACTTGCTGCAGCTGCTGAAAATGTTATTATTTGGGATTTAAGGTGAGAAATTGAGAGGATTGTATTAAAAATGGTATATACATTTGTAATGTACATACTTTAATAGATTGGGCGAACGTGCATTAACACTGCGCCGCGACAAGCAGGAAGTAACTGCACTACGCGCCTCACCCGACCGCATACATGTTGCTGTGGGTTACGTTGATGGTGTTGTTGAACTTTTCGATTTGCGTGCGCCAGAGCAATCTATATGCTCATTAGCTTTGCATAAAAGCGCTGTGTCTGTTCTGCGCTTTGATGATATAGGCATTCGATTGGTAAGCGGTAGCCTGGATACTGAACTGGTTGTTGTGGATATTGTTGAACAAGCCGGCCGACAACGACTTATAGGACATAATGCGCCCATAACAGATGCACATTTTTTACAACGTTTAGGAGAGCAAAACATTGTCATTAGCTGTTCAAAGGATACACAAATAAAATTCTGGAATTTAGAAACACAATTCTGTTTCAAAACAATTGTTGACAATCGTACTGAAGTTTGGGCTTTGGCATTAATCGGTGATATTATGGTTGCTGGCTGCGGTGAGAGCACAATGAATGTTTATCGACTTCGTCGACGTGACGATCCAAATCAGAATATTGAAAATGCTGTTGAGGGCTTAAGTATAGATGACGAGGATACTATTAGTCCTTTAACAGTAACAAACTGTGGTGTGATACAGCGCGCAGGAAAAGGACGTTGTGTAAATTTGGTAACCGATGCAGCAGAGCGTGTCATCACCTGTCATGGTACGAATGATCTTATCGAGAATTTTTACTTTTGCACAGCGGAAGAAGCTAAGGAGCGACTTTCGAAGCGTTTAAAAAAGGCTCGTAAGGCTGCCGAGTCAATGGAGCATGATGGTAAAGAAAATGAAGATGCATTATCCAAGGGTTTAAGCCTAAGCGACGAAATAAAGCGTTTGGAAAGTATAAAAGTAAAACAGAAAATCAAATCAATCGACATTATACTCGGCGCACAAAACGAATTGCGTGTACTTGTCGGTTTAGCTAATAACAGTCTACAACTTTACGCGCTTAATGCTTCACTAAAGCACAAAGTATCAGAAGAAAGTATCAAACAGTTACGTGCATTAACGCGTGTTGGGCATCAATCTGAAGTGCGTTCTGTATGCTTCAGTAACGATTCGCTTGCAATTGGCTCCGGTGCAGGCGAATCATTTAAGTTTTGGAATCGCGAGTCTATGCAATGTTTACGTACAATAGCTACCGATTACATATTGTGCACCACGTTCGTGCCAGGCGATCGTTATGCGTTATTGGGCATGAAAAGCGGTAAATTGGTAATAGTAGATGTGGGTGCCGCGGATATTATTGAAGAGATACCAGCACACGAAAGTGAATTATGGTCTATCGCCCTTCTACCCGATATGAAAGGTTGTGTGACGGGTAGTAGTGACACGACGGTTAAAATTTGGACTTTCGAATTAGTTGATAATGTGGCAACGGATGGTAGTGGTGAGGTGGATACAACACGACCAAAAGTGCTCTCGCTGTTACACAGGAATACGCTCAAACTGGAAGAGACGGTGTTATGTGTGTGTGTCTCACCGAATATGAAATATCTCGCGGTGGGCTTACTCGACGCAACAGTGAAGATTTTCTTTCTCGACACCTTTAAGTTCTATTTGTCGTTGTATGGCCACAAACTGCCAGTGCTCTGTCTTGATATTAGCTATGATTCCACATTAATAGTCACAGGCTCGGCCGATCGTAATATAAAAATTTGGGGTTTGGACTTCGGTGACTGTCACAGATCGCTGTTTGCGCATGACGACTCAGTAATGGCGCTGCAATTCATACCCAACACGCATATGTTGTTCAGTTGCGGCAAGGATGGCAAAGTAAAGCAATGGGACGCCGATTCATTCGAAAAAATTCTTACATTGCCAGGCAAGATATTTCCTTTAAATTCTATCATTTTTGTAGTATAAATCAATAACGATTTTATTCAATTATAGGACATATTGGTGAGGCGTACAGCTTGGCAGTTAGCCCAAATGGTCGTTACCTCGTCACAAGCGGTTCCGATCGTACTCTGCGTCTATTTGAGCGCACCGATGAACCGATAGTTTTACAAGATGTACAGGAAGAGGAACGCGAAGAGATGGAAAATCAACAACTCGCCACCGGTGAAGAAAGCGCAGTGCCCCAACTACCTGGCTTAAAGTTGCCTTCACGAAAAACTGTCGGCTCGGAAAAGGCTGCAGAATCAATATTGGAGTGTTTGGAGATTTGCAAACAATATGATGTGGAGGACGAGGAGGACAAACCGGAACTGCATCCATTAATGCGTGCGCTGCAAGTAAAAAATCCCGATGATTTTCTTTTCACTACCTTAGCCCGTATACGTGCTTCGGATTTGGAGGAAGCGCTCTTGCTGCTGCCATTTTCCAATGTCTGCGAGTTGCTTGAACGTCTGCCACGCCTAATTGAATGTCACAGCGATCAGATAGAATTGCTATGCAAAGTAACAATTTTCCTATTCAAAGTGCATATGAAACCGATAAGTGCGGCGAAAAATATGAAACTCTTGCTTAGCGGTTTGGTGCGTGCACTACAGCGGGACGTCAGTGAAATGCGTGATACAATTGGCATGAATGTACATTCGTTGGCACTGCTGCAACACAGAATAGAAGAACGCGAAGGCGTCGAACTGTTCCGTGAGGCGACACAGGAGCGCAAAAAGCGGGACAAGAAACGGCGTGAGGCGACCAAGCGCCGCTTAGCCATTAAAATAACATGAAATGCATGCATCTACGCATATAGTGCTTTAAGCTATAGCGGAACGCTAAAGTACATACGAATTATTGCATGCATGTACATACATATATATATATATATAGGTGTTGTAATTGTTTTATAGAGTATACATATAATTTGGTAAATATAAAATTATGAAACATTTATTATTATGGCAACTATTTTCAATTACAATAATATGGTTTATACATGTATTTCTTCCGTCGTTTAAACAAGCGTGTGTCGTAGAGTTTATATTAAATTGATATTTTTTAATTTTTTCGCTTTGTCCGAGTTAGTTTTAGTTGCTTTAGTTGCTAATTACAATATTTCGAGTACTTTCTATTGTTTGTGTTTATGGTAGTATCTATTTATTATTTAGAAACAGTTAAGGGAAGTTGTTGGTTTTCGCTGTTGACATAACTATTTTTGCAGCAAGTGAAAGGAGGGCTGGCGGCTTGCTACAATCGATCTATGTGGCAATGGCAAAATGTTATATAATTTTATATTTGATAAGTTACAGTTAAGGCATTTTACGAAGAACATAATTCGATATGAGAAAATAAAACATAGCTGTCAATTGAATGCACATTTTAACAAAATAGAAATAGATTGCTGTCAATTACATATGCCTGCTTTGGGGGCTGAGGGTCCGCAGTTCGTATTGCAACAACCTAAAATAGAGTAAATTTTTAGTTTAGTGTTTCGTGTAGGTTTGCAAATTATAATTAGATGGAAATTACCATATATAAATTTAGACTTTGTAAAAGGGTTACATGGGTTTCGCGGCTTCAAAAAAAAAATGTATTGTCATATTTAATTTTATAGCATCTCTAGAATATTGTCCTAAATTCTCAAGTTGATACCAGTAATAGTTTTGGAGATACAGCTTTGAAAAGTTGCGTGCTCGAGGTCAGCTATATAATCACTTAAAACTTTAAACGCGTTTTTCTTGAAACTGTGTTTTCAAAGTCGGTTGTCAAGATTTCTCACGAACCACTCAAGCGATCTTGAGCTATAATTTACAAGGTCTTGAAAGCTGGATTTTTTTTGTTTAATTACAACTAATCAAAAAACGAAAAAGTCGAGAAGTTTTCACCGAAATTTGCATTTTTTTTTGTAAAAACGTCTGCCAAAAATACAATTTTTACTTTATTTGTTTTTTCTCCTATCCAATACCTAGTTAATGGTCTTAGTTCAAACACTTTTTTTTTCTTTTTACTTTTGATGATCCTGTCAGAAATTCTGCTGTCAACGCGGAAGAACCTTTTCTCCGAGGCACTGCCGAAAATGACGTCGTAATAACCGATTTTTGAATATTTTCCTTTGAAAATTTCACAAAACCTTTATCAAATATGTATCTTCGGAATAATAAAAAGTGAGTATAAAGTATTTAGTTTTTTATATAAAAAAAAAATTATTGAAAGTAGGGCAACGAAACCCATGTATTCGCTTAATAGAAGTAAAGGCGATAGCTTACAATTTTTGTTTAGTATACTTTTAGGGATATACAATAAATTTAAAAATAATTTTGAAACTCTATGTGTACGATATTAAAGCGGATTTTCTGTGTAAGAAACATTACATTTTGATTTCATATTTCAATTACAAATTTAGTTTTTTGTGAATTAACTACTTTTTATAGACGTTCAATTTCTGTAGCTACAGTTTGATAGACACCACTTATTTTTAAACATAGTACGAATAATCGTCGCAACAGTGGTCTAAAATCCGTAGGTTTTGTCGGTCGTTGTCGAATAACTTCATAAGTGAAAGTACCAGAATCTGACTCAAACATTTAAATTATATATATATGACTTGTAACTTACCACCGCAACGCGAAAATGTACCAGGTGGTCCATAGCTGAGTTTCTGAATTGTACATTTCTCGATTGGTGCCGTCGGCTTGCAATAAGACGTTTGATTCGCCCATGGCATTGGCTGTCGAGCTTGTGGACAATTTGGCAAATAGCTAAGCTTATAAACCGTACAGTTTTCGACAGGCCCATCGGCGCGGCACACACCCGGTCGCGGTCTAATCGGTTCTGGACGTCTGAACTCACACACATTCACTGGCATATACGAGAGTTTGTTGATGGTGCAACGATCCATGCTGCCAGTGGCGCGACAAATAAGCGATTGTGGTCGTATGGGTGCACGTCGGCATATAGGCTTCGGTACAAAATCATGCTTCTGTGTGGTCATATTATAGAGAGGGCCACAAGCCTTCAGGCAGTTCTCCTTGGGTCGAATGGGCTGGGTACGTGCTACGCAACAATTAGGCTGGTATGAGAGCTGTTATAAAAAAAGTTTCAAAGGCACATATAGAAATGTAATATAATTTGAACACAATCTTCTTTAGCCCACCTTGTGTACAGTGCATTTCTCCAGAGACCCCGTTGGCATACATATACCCGGTAGGGGGCGTATCGGTTCTGGGCGACAGCAGCGTGAATCAACTGGCATATAGCTGAGTTTGTAGACTGTACAACCGTCGGTGCGATCGCTACCCAAAGTTTTTATACTGTGCAATGGTACCACAGGAGCTGTGCGTGTCGTACAGCAATTTGGCAAGTAGCTAAGATTATACGTCGTACAGAGATTTTCGTAACGTGGTGGCACACAACGCACCTTTTCTGCCCACGGCATCGGCTCCTTTGGTAACGGACAAACTGGTAGATAACTTAATTTCTGTACGGTACATTTTTCACTAGGACCGGTCGGACGTTGTATGTTGTATGTCTGCACTATTGGCTTGGGCGGAGGATTCCGGCATACGTCCACCGGCATGTAAGATAATCTATTGATTGTGCATCGCTCCAATGGGTCACATGGCTTGCATATGCCGTTCACTGGACGTATGGGTGTACGTTTGCTATAACCTTTCGGTACAAAGTCATGTTTCTGTGAAGTCATCGCATAGAGTGGGCCACAAAATCGCAAGCCATTGTCCGGTGGCCGAATCGGTGCGGCACGCCCAGCTCCACAAGGTGGCAGGTATGACAGCTTCTGCACCGTACACGACTCCATACGACCGGTATTGGATAATATATTCGGACATGGTCGTATTGGTTTCGCGCGATAACAGTCGCCACAGTTGCCGAAATATGAACGTTTGTATATTGTATCCGTTTCAAGTGGCGCAGTCGAGCGCATAATGCACGACATCGGTCGGATGGGTTGGGTACGTGCCGGCTGTTGATAGCAACAGCCCGCATAATCGCCGCAATCGCAGCGGCAATTACAGTCGCCCCCTGGCGGACACGGTGTATAATCGACCGGTGCCTGGCAGGGATCACACTTGGGCGGGCAGTACTGATCGCAAGCCATGATCCCATCACCTGCACAACCGTTACCGGTCGGGCATTGGTTGGCAGTCGGGCTGCAGTTGACGCATGAAATGAAAAACGAAATAGATAAAAATGAATCAGTAAAAGTTAAAAATAAATTATGTTTTGATCAACTTTTTTATTCATACATATTATTGTTTATTACTTACTCGCACATCGGAATGAAGTTTCAGATTAGTTTTCAGAACTGCAGAACTATTAAATGGTTGGGTACAGAGTAACCGTTTTTCTCTGTTTGGTTACACAAAAACACGAGTGCGATTTAATTTTGATTGTTTATTTGCTCGAAAAAAATAATTTTTGATAATATATAAAACAAAAAACACAGCGGACAAATTTGAAATTTTGTGAACGACAAAAACGGAAATGTGCTCGCTTTAAAGTCGAAAACTGAATTAAAAATCAAGTGATTGCTAAGCAAAGTATACGACCGCAAAGGGGGACGGAGGTGGTATTATTAATAAAAAGTATGAACATATATATTTATTACGAAATGCCTACATATGTACATATGTTCTTTGAAATATCAAAAATTTATTCTAAGCAACATTACGTATACGCAGTGGCACACTTGCTCTTCAAGGTATGCGAATTGTCGACAAAAATCTCTTTTTATACCCTGAACAGGGTATATTAAGTTTGTCATGAAGTTTGTAGCACCCCGATAGAAACGTCGGCTACCCTATAAATGGTAGAATATAAAGATCAGCGTGACGAGCTTGGTTGAGTCAGTCACCTTTGTCTGTCTGTCTGTATATAAGCAAACTAGTCACTCAGTTTTCGAGATATTGATTTAAAATTTTGCACACGTCTTTTTCTCCCAAAGAAGCTGCTCATTTGTCGGAACCGCCGATACCGGACCACTATAGCTTATAGCCGCCATGAAATCTCAAGTTCTTGTATGGAGAACTTTTTTATTTGATCAGATATATTTACGAAAATCGACATGAATTATTATGCAAGGCAACGAAAAAAATCTACTTCTTTCATATTTGTGAAGGGTATTATAGCTGCGGTGTAAACGAAGTTAACGTTTTTTCTTGCGAAACAACTTAGATTAATCTGTTGGACCTCTCCTCGCAGTTTAGAAACGTTCTCGATTTTCCTGGGTGGCAGTTTCGTTTCAAGCAATTGTTCGGCTAGATAATTCCGTTGAAAACAACCCTACCGGCAACAATATTGGTTTTAATTTAGGTGAAACTTCAACATTGGTGCAAACAAAACAATTATATTAACTTTTTCGATTTATTTATTATTGTAGGTATTTCTTTTAATATTTTTAGTTAATCCTAACAAATTTGTTTTTCGAATTTAATATATAGTTGGTTTTTCCTTTCTGTTATCATAATTGCAAATAATTTAGAGTTCCTTTTTTGGGAAGGGAGAACATTTTAGTTTTGGGTCTTAAAATATGTACACAAGTATGTGTCTGTTTATGTACATAAGAACAGCGCTATTACGGAGTCCATTAATATACATAAGTATTGCTATTTTCGTCATGTATAAATATATGTAGGTATGTAGTATGTATGTGTGTTATGCGTGTTATACACAATATATAACACTAAAATAACAATAAACAAAAAATTTAAAATTTCTATATATTTATCAAATCAACAAATTATAAAAAAATACATTTGCAAAAATAATAATAAATTTGGAAACAAATAAATATTTAATTTTCAACGGCTTTACCGTTTTTTCTTGGCTATGCATGCCATAAAGTTCGTATTTTACTCAAATTAAAGTTTTGCAGTAATTTTGTTCAACTCTTCTAAAAGGAACATTAATTATTAAAAATGAAATTCCAAAATCACACTATATAGTGTTGTTTAAAAATAAAATAAACTATTTAATTTGATGTAAATAAGTAAAAAAATTGTGTTGTTTTGTCTTGTTTTATTGAATTTTTATATATTTATTGTTTTCGCTTTGTAATTAATTACTTCTATTTAAAGAGTGAATTAAATATATATATTATTATTAGTTTCTTGTTATTTTTTTTAAGTGTAATGGAAACTTTTCAAATTTCCATTTTACTTAATTCATCTTCTTTTTGATTTGAAGACTCGCGCTTATTTCTTGTTAATCATATATTGTCTACAGAATCAGCATCATCCTCAGAACTGATCTCATCACCGAATTCAATGTCTTCATCAAAACCATCTTCAACGAATGTAACTGTGTCGTTGATGCGTACCGATTCGGGGAATTCGCCGTATGTTTTCAAATTTCTCGCTTCATCCGGTGTGTATTTTAAGATGACATCAGCTTTTGAATCCTGATAATCACGTAGACCGACCAAAATGATGTCGCCTTGATTAATCCATACCTGAAAGAGACCAGAAAAATAATTGTTTTTTAAATTATTTTAATTGTACAATAAGTATTGTCAGTTATTATTGTTAACGATATTTATAGATAAAATTTATTTTCTAAAAAAATATATAAAAGTAGTGTAAATGGAATAGTAAATGTATACATATTTGGGGTGTATAACATAATGCCGACAACCGAAATTTAAAATTCCGACTATCAATAGCGACAAATCAAAACACCGACATATCAAAATACCGACAATTCGAAATACAAACAGAAAAAATTTAAAATAACGGGGTGTTCAGAGTTTTTCCGCGTTGAACTACTTTCTGCGTTGGCGGCTTTCGGCCGCGCTTATAAAAAATTAACCTTGTCGGTCCAACAATGGGGAGTTCAGAGTTTTTCCGCGTCGAACTACTTTCTGCATTGTTTTTGTTAACTACGACTTTACTTTAACTTTTGTGAAGATATTAAATTTCAAAAAACCCATTTACGGCTTTACAACTTGATTTTGCAAATATTTTTGAAAAATATTTTTATGGTGTCTGTATTTTGATTTATCTGTATATTTGAATTTTGTCGGTATTTTGAACTTCGGCATTTTAAGTGGTTGTCTATTTATAAATACATAAGCAAATACTTGCTGTAATAAATATTGCAGATAAATACCGGAACGTACGGTAAATAGTATAGGACTTCAACTAGTGCAATGACCTACCGCAAAACTCAAATATTTGACTATTCGTCATTATATAAGTACATATGTATGTATGTATGTACCTTATCAGTTGACATAAACGCAATGCAAAATTAAAAATAATTATATACGTGTAAGAAGTCGCAACGTAACAAACTAATAATAATAAACAATTGCTTTTGTGATATCAAATTTAGGTATGATCAAATATTGTATAATTTACTCACATGCCGAGTTCGTGATTTGCGTGTGGGTTTTTACATTGTACAAGTGATATGATATTGTTATTAATGGCTAAAGAATTTCTTTGCCTTTTCGTTTACGCATGATCAATATGTTGGGCGTGTAAATTAATTTCTAACAAATATTATATAAATTTTATTGATAAATTAATAAGCTGCAAAATTTATAAAATTCTCAGTACTGCAGCGGCGTCATTGGCGGAAGGTAAATTCTAATTAATGAACTTTCTGCCAGCCGACTAAATCAATATTTATGTACAAACAATCGTACGTAATTTATAAGGCAATGACTCAACATTGAATTTGTATTGGTACTGCATTATATGAATTTCACCAGCCTTATAAGACTATCTTAAATTCCTACATATTTCTGTATGTATGTATATACAATTGCTATATGTGCCTCATAAGGTCTTTTGTAAATTTCTATTTATTATTATTTTTATTTATTTTTTGTTCTGTTATTGCTTGGTTTTCCAACTGTAAACGATTTTTAATTGTGTTGGTGGCGATTCGGAAATAACAAGATTCTCTCTTTTCGATTATTATTAACGAATGTAAGCATTCTATTAACAATTTATATAAGTTGACTTAATTAGTACTTGTATGTATCACTTTATAATAGTAATCATTCAGAGTTCTTTAAAACCTAACTATGTATCTTTATAAAAACTCTTCAACAATTTTTGAGAAAATTGTCAAATTCATGGTGCTAGTTTGTGGAAGTATTTAAATTATTTGCCTGAGTCGATTTGTGGCTATAGTTCTAATCGAATCCTTGGCCGAAAATAAAATCAGGTCCATTCCGGTTTGAAACGAATGATTTGGGGAAATTTTCGTACGCAATTGCAACGAAAACAATCAAAATTGTTGGAAGAGGTTACTTCAAATATGATTTGTAAGGTATAAATTTCATATATGCATATAGTTATGTACATATATACATACATAGATTAAGGGCCACATGTGGAAAACATATACACTGTAATGCAGGACAATAGGTCTCACTGATTTCTTCTGATTGTTTATTTTAAATACAGATTTATGGCATGCGGTAATTTGAATATTTGATAGTAAATTATCGGTAGAGCTTATCAAGAGACCTGCTAAGACTTCCAAACCAAAATGTGAATGAAAATGTAAGTTAGTGCATAAATCAGGCTCGTATACATACATATTATTTTGCTATAAATAAAAATGAACATTGAACTAACAAAACTGAGAACTGAGTTTGTTAAATGCAACTAACCGTGTCTGCACTAGTAGCTAGTATGACACGCGCCTTTGCGACAATCTGCTGATAAGCAACCAATGTGTATACATACATACATACATACTCGACGTGTCCAGTTATAAAGATAATTTATTGGGGAAACACCTATAGTGCCACAAAGAAACATTTCTTAAAATACGTTATATTACGAGCGGAAGGTTGTGGGAGGCAACAACTTGCGATGTGGAAACTCAATGGCTAGGTTGTGAGTCGCACGCGTATATAAAAAATATGGAGTTTATATATTTAATATGCTGTGTCAACACATTGGAATTTGGTGAGTAAGGCACGAAGATTGTGAGGCTAGGAGACGCCGTGCATTCGCACTCATATACAGTGAAACAGTATAAACTTGTACAAGTCAATAAACCTACATATGCACAAAACACTAAAATGTTCTAACTGGTATTGAATTTAAAAATCGGTGGGCAAGCAGTTGATAGCAATTTTAATGAAGGCGCGCATTGATAAGATAAAAGGCCAGTTGTATGCGCAGACGTAGACATCTCAGTTGCCGTAGACATGAACTTCAAGCAGGCGACGCTGCTTTCTGCCCACATTACTGACCAAATGGCAGCATGCTTAACGAAATCGGCCGAAAGTAATGTGTACGTTAGTGTCAACGTCGTTAAATTCCCACATGTTCGTACAAGGCAACTTTATCTTATCAATATCACTGTGTCTCTGTCGGCTGCAGGCGTGACTAGTCATCACTGGGTTACCTATAAAATGGGCAAGCTCAGCGTCAGCAACGACAAAGCGCAGATAGACCCGAAAGTGTATGAAACTAATTGAAAACAGCGAAGCAAACAAGCTATTGGAATATATATACTGATTGTACGAAATGCGAATTCTTCTCGCGTCCAGATAATTGTGAAATTGTGCGCATTAAAGTGTAAACTGAAAGTAAAACAAAAAAATATACGTGAACGCCACTTAACAACGGAGAATTGTGTGTGGAACTGTATTGAGTTACAACAACAAATCATGTTAGTCAGTTGGAAATGTATTTTTCTAATATTATGTATAATATTCATACAAACAATGGTGGTACTGAGCACAAATGCACCGTTGTCGACTAGAAAAGCCCAACTAGCCGGCATGAGTCCAAGGGCAGCATGGGGATTTCTGGAGAATCAACGTGGTAAAAACGAAAAAAGCAAGGCATGTACACCAAAATTATTGGCGAAACGCGAGGCAGTGCCACATTCGGCTCCCTATATCGTATCAATACAACGCATGACACCAGATGACGGCCTCGTACATTATTGCGCAGGCACTATAATTCATGAGAACTGGATACTAACAGCAGCTCACTGCCTCACCTCAGATGAAACAGTGGAGAACTCCATCATTGTTGCCGGCTGTCATGATCTACGTGGCACCGAAGAAGGCGACTGTGTACAGGTGCGCACAATTGATCATTATGTGCGACACGAGCTCTATCTTGGAGGCATTAATCCATATGATATCGCGCTCATCTACACCAAACGACCGTTACAATTTACAGAGCATGTGCAACCAGCCCAGTTGCCAGAACAGGATGTGCTGCCAGTTGGTAGTGGTACATTTTATGGTTGGGGTAATATTTCGATGACATTGGTACCCAATTATCCACATCGTTTGCAGGAAGCTGATATGCCCATATTGGATATGGAAATATGTGAACGTATATTAGCAGGATCTGGTTTGCAACTGCACGAGACTAATCTGTGCACAGGGCCACTAAATGGTGGTGTCAGTATCTGTACTGCTGATTCTGGTGGACCTCTAATGCAGCCTTGTTGTGATGGTTTCGAGGAAGGTTACACAGTTATTGGCATAGTGTCCTGGGGTAAAATGCCTTGTGGCCAGAAGAATTCTCCATCTGTATTTGTACGTGTTTCAGCGTTTACGCATTGGATTAGTGATATTATCACAACGGTAACACAGTTCGAGTAAACATAGGCGAACACTTAAGGAGAGAGAATTTAGATAATGCTCAAAATTATAAACTGAATGGTGTAATGCCAAAAACTGCATGGCCTGAAACCGGCTGATCGTCTGATTGTTGGAAAATAAAATCTCATGAATATAGAATAGAAACTGTAGTATTAATGAAAGTAGTAATATGTAAATATCTATAATACCATATAGTACAACTATTTTATTTAAAATTTTATAAAATGAAAAATATATACTTAACTACCACAGGTATTAACAAAAAATTCTCACAAAAAAAAAAAAGAAAAGAAAAAAAACTCGAAAAATAAACATAAAAAATGTAATAAATACAACCACATATATATTATACTAATATACACAAATACATGTTTTTAAATTCAATTTAAGGATACAAAAATACATATATATTTATGTATGTTTGTATATAACTAAACCTTATAAAGCCTTTTGAAAGTTTAATTTACGACTCAATAACAACATAAATAATAAATTGGCATATATTATACATATTTATAAATTATGACTTTACTTAAATATGTCAGCGCCGTGTTACGCATTATGCTAGCCTCCGATACTTATCACGCGATTCAAAAAAGTACAATTAATGCATAATATGTCTAGATGATGCTTCAGAAAATCACCATACCATAACAAAGATTTTATGGCGGCGAAAGATTTTATGTTTAAATAAACGTAGTGTGGCAAAAAGGAGCCCTTTAGTAGTCTTGACTTCTAAATTTCATTTTTTAATTTGAGAAATATCAATTTCTACTTAACTTATTTTGTTTACTCATAAAGGCAACAGTTTGCCACACAAAGTATACATATGTAGCAAATTTACTGCTTACAAAAATAGTTTATTCTTTTTTGGTTTTGGTCCCCTTTGCTAGACGTTGATGTTTGACGATGACTATCTCGTAAGCACTTAATCGAAAGACCAGACCATTTTTGTAGAACAAAAGATTTCCTTAAATTCAGTAAAAAAAAAAAAAAATTGCTTTAAAATAGTCAATCTTAACTGTAAATATCTTTTAAACGGTTAAGTTGCAAAAAACCCGTAAGAGACAATTTAATAAAGCATTTCCTATAAAATCTATGAAACAAGATATTTTTTCAAGTAGATGGAAACGAGATATATATTTTTGTATCTGATGACAAGAGAAAATGGTGTCTATCAACAAATTTTTCAGAGTACGGAGCGTAAGAAAAAAGATTTGTGTTCTTTTTTACACACCTTAATGCACATACATATATACGAGTATATTATCAGCGTGAGGAGTTGGGTTGAATTAGCCAATCTGCAATTTTGGACCCGTTCTTTTCTCCCCAAAGATCTGCTCATTTGTCGGAACAACTATAGCATATACATAGCTGCCATCCAAAATCAAGTCCTTCTATGGAAGACTTTTTTATATTTACGAAATTTGGAATATATTATTGAGCAAAGGCAACACTATTATCTCCGAATAAATTAAGATCGGACGACTATAACATATATGTATGTAGTTGTCATTCGAATTGACCGATCAAAATAACCGTTCCCACGACAGTCGGGTCTACGTAACCGGAACGGACCCGGATTTATTCCGGCCAAGGACTGTCAACTCGGCAGAATTCTGTCGCTACAACAACAACAACAACAACCGATCAAAATAAAGCTATTTTATTACGAGTAATTAAGTACCTTAATTCGATTTGAAGATTGTTTAGAATAAAGGAAATTGCTTGAAAGAACTAGCAACACTTTTTCCGTTGGAGGCAAACCGTTTGCAGGCTTAACTTTTTTCCTTGTTTTTATATACATAAATTATATAAATTTTAAAACATTCATCTCATTATATGTTGTAAAATAATTTTTTTTTTATATTTATCTTCTGGTCCGATAGTAAATGATTCATGTCTGTTGACTTACTTTTTTGAATCTACAAGTATATGAAAACAACTGATATACATTGTGCAACTTTCCAATTGGAATTTCGTATTCATTTTATATACCTACATAGATACTACAAGTATATACTTCAACTTTAAGTATTTTAGATAAACCAAGAATTTATCTCAATTGCTTTACAAATGTAAATATTTTTAAATACTCATTTAGTAAAGTGATAAATATTTATGCATTTAATTAATCAAAATTCTGGAACACCTACGTACAAGAAATATTACACAATGATGTATTTATTTACTAGAAATTAAACAGTGAGAAAGGTAGAACAGATTTCATCTGCTCCTACAACCTTACTATCTTAGCAATTTTTTGTTTTAATTTATTTATCATTTCCAAGCCAATATACCAATATATGTATATAATATACAAACACATATTAGTGACATGAGACTTAAATATAAAAGATCAAAATGTCAGTGAATTAATTGTTTACTTTGGAAATATGGAAATAAACAATTCATTCGACTTAAATCGTACGTGCCACAATATTAGAGTTATGACAATTTTTTATACCTATGCAAATTTTTCAATCTTTGATTTTATTGATTCCTCGTCTCATTATTAATATGCTCCGCTTGCGAAACAGCTGATTTGAACTTTTGAATAAGTATACACATACAAATATGTATATGCAAATATGACAATTCAAAAGAAATAATTCTATTTTTCAGTTGAATATAGGCATATTCTGGTAATATTCTACGCATATTTTTAGGTAATATACATGTCCGTACCTCTCAAAGTGAAATTGCAACGCAAAAAGTTTATTACGAATTTTCGTTTTTGTGCAAGTCGGGGACTGTTAACGAGGTTCGCAAGCATACACTCATTTACATTTCACTAAATTTATTATCTTTGTTATATTGCACTCTTTTATGTATACATGTCGGAATATTCAATGAAAATTCAATAGGAATATATAAAACTATGTAAAAAAAAAAATCAGGAAACATTTATACCATCACTTTAAATGTGTCTTGCAATCAAAACATTCTCAGAGTGCCAGACGAGCAATGAATTCAATTATTTAAGTAATATACTATTAAAAATTTTTTAAATTTGAGCGCATTTTTGTGATTGCACACACGTTAAAAGTGAGAGCAGGTTCCTCCCCACCCCACCCCACACTTTTTTTCTTAACCTACCTTCTTTCTGAGTTTCCCCCGAATGTGACACAAACGTTTCACCCCGTCAAAACATGTTGCCTCAAGTCGTCCATTGCCAAGCATTTTGGTGACTTGTGCATATTCTTGCTGATCCTCCTTGAAAATCAATTCACGTTTTTCGAATTCATTTTCGTTCTTTCCACGACGACGATTTTTACCTCCTTTTCCCTTATTTTTAGGCATTTTGTTGCTGTTGTCCCTTTAAGTTTTATTTAATAACCTTGGAGGATGCACTTTCAATTTAGGATATCTACAGAAAATTTTGAAACTCTTTATATCTTTAATGTACCAGATTTACTAATAAAATATTGAAAATATACTTACGAAAATGCTTGAAAACGTCGTCACGGACTTTTTCGCTTCGAGTCTCTTGACAGAAAGGAAAGAGCAATTGCGATGTATTTCTATGTTGACAGTCAGCGCACCTGTAACGTAGGTGCAAGTGAAAAGAATAGTGTTTAAAAATGAAATAAATAAAGATGGCTGCACGATGATATGTGCGAAACGGAGATATATTTGAGATAATAGATAATTGATATGCACGGTTGTATTGTAACCTGTACAAATCAAAATGTTAATTCTAAAACGATTTTATTTTAATTTTTAATTATATGCTCGGGATTAAGTTTTTTTTCTACCCGGTATTAAAAATAAATAGTAAATCCGATTTTTGAGATAAATTTTTTGTTTTCATTTGTTAATCCCGTATTTGGAAACTTCTTAGCATATGGAGCATTAAACATTAAAAATTAAATAGAAAGTAATTTATTGTGTTCCAAAAATATATTGATGTTCGGTTTTTTAAATTTGATACATATTCTTAGTTTATTTAAAGATTTGAAAGTCCACAATATTTTATAAAATGACTAACCTGCTTTTAAGTACCGAAAACGGTGTTGTTCGAAAGAAATTTAATTGCAACCCTGTTGAGATGTAGCACAGTTTGTTTTCTGCTATTATAAACAAGACATTATTGAATAAAAAGTGCAATATTTTAATAAGAAACACGGTAATTCTAGATTTGTATTTATTTATTTATAAGTTTCCGAAACTTATGATGTTATAGTATATAAAGCACATACATTTATTGATCGTCGACGTCGCCTGATATTATTGGCCACTGCCTACGAAAACGGAGAAAAACAAACACCAAAAGCAGTGGACTAAACAAAGAAAGGTGGAATACAATCGATGAAAATTTCAAATTTTCTTATCAGTTCGTGGCGTATCTGATAACTATTTTACCAATTTATAAAGCTAGTTTAAAAACTTGTGATAAAACAGTATTTCTTTTGACCCGGTTTATGAGGAGAAGTATTGTTGTTTGCCATTCGTTACAAGAAGAAATAAAATTAAAGACAGAAGAAAGTGTGACGTGTCACAAACAATCACGATACTCAGAAACAGTATCTATTAGATTTTTTATTAATTTGTAATCACTACAAAAATGTGTGGCACAAATTCGACAAGTACAAATGGCACACGCGCCCTGATACTCGTAGGTGGCTATGGAACACGACTCCGTCCTTTGACACTTAGCACACCAAAACCACTGATAGAGTTTGCGAATAAACCTATTTTATTACACCAGCTTGAAGCTTTAGTTAGTGCCGGATGTACGCAGGTTGGTCTGTTATTAATATAAATGTGTCCATGTTTGTAATTAATGCTTAAAAACTATTTATATATATGCAGGTTATACTTGCTGTTTCATACCGCGCTGAGCAAATGGAAAAGGAACTGAAACAGGAGGCAGAAAAATTAGGCGTTAATTTAATATTTTCACATGAAAACGAACCCCTCGGTACGGCGGGACCACTGGCGTTAGCGAAAGACATTCTCAATTCCAGCAAAGAACCCTTTTATGTGTTGAATTCGGATGTGATTTGTGATTTCCCTTTTAAACAATTAGAACAATTCCACAAAAACCATGGCAAAGAGGGCACAATAGTTGTAACGAAAGTCGAAGAGCCGTCCAAATACGGCGTAGTGCTGTACGATGAACAAGGTCGCATTGAAAATTTCATTGAAAAACCGCAGGAATTCGTAAGCAACAAAATTAATGCCGGTATATATATATTTAATCCCTCCGTGCTGGATCGTATAGAAGTTAAGCCAACATCGATTGAAAAGGAAGTTTTCCCCGTTATGGCCGACGGGGGACAACTGTATGCAATGGAATTGCCTGGTTTTTGGATGGATATAGGACAGCCTAAAGATTTCCTAACAGGTGAGAAGATCACAATCACATGACACGTATGCGTTACCGCGTTCTACACGCATTAGTCAGAGAGATAAGGTGTTTTTTTTTGTTTTTTAAAGTAGAAATTTTTGACAGGTTTGAAAGTATTTGTCTTTTCCGCTCTCTAAGCGGAATAAAGCTTATCAATTTTATGACACCACAAATTTGAATGAGTAGCTATTTGTATTGATTGGTTATCGGCGCTAAAGGTTCAATATGCAAATGATAAAGCTATAAAGGAAGCTATTTTATATATTATTACTATTTATCGGCTTTGCACTTTAAAACGTCTCATGGGAAATCTCAGGAAATAATCATTTAAAATTTATTACACGTACAATATACGCATACACATCAAGTAGGTATATTAATATCCATCACAGCATAAATTATTTTGGTTTTTATTTTGTAGGCATGTGCCTTTATTTAACATCATTACGGCAAAAGCAATCATCCAAACTTTATACCGGACCCGGAGTAGTGGGAAATGTTTTAGTGGATCCCACGGCGAAAATTGGCGAAGGTTGTCGTATTGGGCCAAATGTTACTATCGGCCCAGATGTAGTAATTGAAGATGGTGTATGTATCAAACGTTCAACGATTCTCACAGGTGCCATAGTTAAGTCGCACTCATGGTTGGATTCCTGCATTGTTGGTTGGCGTTCGGTTGTAGGTCGTTGGGTACGTTTAGAGGGTATAACTGTACTCGGCGAAGATGTTATTGTAAAGGATGAAATCTATATAAACGGTGGACAGGTACTGCCACATAAGAGTATATCCGCAAGTGTGCCAGAGCCGCAGATAATAATGTAAATGTTTGCTAATTATATTTTACAGATTATTTTACTGTATTATACATATATAGGTATTGGGAGAAGCTTTCTATGATTTTTTTTCCTAATATGCCCCAATTGTTATTTTGTCTTTACATGAGCGAAACTTTAAAATTGGATTGTTTGGCATTTCCATTTAGATTTATAAAAATTTAATTTAATTTTTAAGCGTACATACAAATATGTATGTATGTATGTAGATATAAATTGCTCCGAAAAAAAGTCAAAATTAAATGGTTTCCCCAGCAGAAAACATTTAAGCGCAATGTGTTTATAATGTGACACATAGATATGAACACAAAACTGGTAACTATGTACATATGTACGTGTTAAAAAAAATGTGCTAAATGTTCGCGCAAGCATATTATTCTTAAGATAACAACTTTTTATAAATAAACTTGTATTATTATGACATCTACGAAATAATAGACATTGGAATTAAGTATGCAATTTAAATTCTAAATAGTATTTATTTTTTTATGGTAAAATAAAAAATTATTAAAATTTAAATTATAAACACATATAATGAAAAATGTGTTTTAGTTACTACCGTTATGCATATACCATTTATCGTACATAAACATAAATATGTAGCTTTAGTAGATATTTCGCCTCCAATGACATCTTTATATCTGTATAACTGTCAAAAAGCGGGTTCTTGAAGAATAAATTTATAATTTTTTATTCGATTTCAACAGCATAAATTGGTTGTTTTTATTATACACTCAAACGCAGTAAACACCTAAATTTGCATTAGATAGTGTATTCAAGTGTTGGCTGCATAGAGTTAGCAATTAAAATGCTATATTGTTTTTTTGTCATAGATTTTATTGAGTTTATAATTATTTTTATATAGTAATTGCAATTCAAATTGTAATTATAGGTAATTGTGGTATTTTGTTTACAATTTTTGTAATATTTCTTCGTATTTGTTGCTTTTTTGTTATTGTAGTTGCTAAATACATTATGTATGTATGTAATACATTACGCTAAGATTTTTATTTTATCTTTGTTAATCTTTCAAATTACATGTCATTCATATTGTTTTTGCTTATAATATTCTTGTTTCATTCTACTGACTTGTTCTCGCCGCACATTGCATTCTCCAGTTAAAGAGAACAGCTTTCATATACTTATATATCCTTCCACATTTTCGCACGCCTTATATAGATGCTTCTTATTCGAAAGTTAGTATATATGTCAGCATGTTTGCAATAAAAATTTTAAATATCACAACACACATGTTTCTTCATTTTTGTTTTTTGTTTTTATGTAGTATTACAGGCGTTTCATTGGTTTGCTTTTGTGTGTAATATAGCGGTAAATTTGCTTATGAATGTTTTAATAAAGACGTTCACACCAACTACTACACTTAAAACAACGCGTGAACGCCACTATTTAAATTAATTAATTTCTTTATACATACGTGCTGTACATACATACATATATGTATGTGTATTCCAATGTTAAGAACTTAAATTAAAATGTTAAAATTATTGCGATTATTATATATATATATATATATTACTAAACTAAATTGTTCATTGCAGACAAAATAAATGTGAAGTTTTACTTTTGTAATTATAGCAACTGTGAATCGTTATAACTAAATGAGGTCTGTTTATGTATAACTATAAACATACATACATATATTTGATTTGATGTACATTACTTAGTTTTTGTCGTTTTCGTTATTTTTTTAGATGCATTACAAATTATTGCATCTGTAGTATTGATCTGCGCATAATTGGCAGTTTTTTATTTTATTTTTTTTTGAAATCTTAATATTATTAATTATTTTAATTGATTATTGATTATAATACTTATTTGTTGAGTGCACCCCCTTCAAATAGCATACGATTACATAATAACTAAGTTATACACACATAAATCAATACAGTAATGAAACATAGGCTGAGTGAATAGGACGCATAAGTAATCGCATACGAGAACACAAAAGCACACAGGAAGCTTAAATGTTTCCAATTACTATTACAATTAGTGATAGTTTTGTAATATAAGATGCATATATTTAAGTTCTTTGTATAAATAAAGTATATGAATAAACTGAATAAAATTCGAATATTTCTACCAAATTATTATGAATGGCATACTTGTTGTACACCAACATATACAATACCTAACTTTTTATTTAAAATAATTTATTGTTAATTTTTTTTCTTTATATTTAAAGAGTGATACATACATATGTGGTTGATCTTTTATTGAGTCAATCGTGAGAAAGTTGTTTCATTAATTTGTTCACTTAAAAAAATATATATTCTGAGATTCTAAACTGTTCTCACATACTGTGTTGAGTAACAATCAAAACTCCACATTAAAACATTTTATGATTAAAATTAACCAATTTTTTTTTTTTTTTTGGAAAATTACGTAATGCGTGTACAGCATAATATGAAATTTTTGTATTGGTGGCAAGTTGTATACCTTTTTCTTGTGTCAATAAAAAATAATGTAAAAATGTACATATACCTATATACCATATGCAAATAAAAATTTGTGTCTGTAGTTTAATACAGATAATTAGTAAAGACATGAAAGCAAATTGTGGAAAACCGCACACAAATAATGAATCACAACATTTTTTTGAATTTATATAAAATCGTTAGATTTTAATTTGTTGAAAAGAATGTATGTAAAAATTACAACTATGATTGCTACACATTCTACATCCCACCATATACATACATATTGCAGCTCACGCTTCCAATTGGATTTGTATCAAAAATAAGACTTAAGAGATTCATTTTTGATTTATTACAGATAATATAAAAAATAGTAGTGCATAATTTTTTACTACAAATTGTAGTACATTATAGTGTTTATCCACTATCACATTGGGGCCCAGTAAGGATCAGTGAGCTAACTGTCCTATTTACAGATTTAGCAAAAAACATTTTAGATCACGTTTAAAAAAGGAGAAAAAGAAATCAATCATTTGAATACATTACAATTTAGACGCATGAATAAGCAATAATAGCTCTTAATTACTGGCATACCTTTGCGATCGGGTTTCAGTAATGCGCTGTTTAGGCTTTACTCATATCTCCAGTCCTTAACACAGCAGTAGTATAATCAAATACAATGCACAATAGACACAAAAAAATATTCTATACTAAACTCTTGTTGGTTTTTGTTTTTGTTTTGCCACTTTACATGACCTAGGCAATAAGCTGTGAGGTGCCGTCCATCACAAAGGGACTACATTGCTTTTGCATCAGTTCTTTCAGACGTGAGCGTGTCATTGGCGGCGAAAAGGTATCGGCTGAACGTTGTTGGGTATAACGTGTATTACGTTTCCTAAGCGTAATACCTTTAACAGTGCCAATTGTCAAAAGTTCGTTATTGCCATCTTTTGAAAGTCTAGCACTTTTGCGTAATGGTGGCATAACGTTCGCCTCGGTCGAACTAGTTTTTCTCAATTCATTTACTTCCGATCCAACAACTTCATTTGCCGCATATACTTCATCAGCATGTTTCCGTTTACGTTGTTGGTATTTTGTTTCTGCAGCAGGGCTTTCATCAGCATTAGTAGTAACTTTACTTTTGCTCATTTGAAGGCTCCTCTTAACATTTTGTGTAGCGTTTTTGTCTTGCGCAAACGCTACAATATTAATTACATTTGATTTGGAGGTATTACGTTTGCCTTTCTTGGTGCCAACTTGTACGCAAAGAGCAGTCGTTCTTTTTTTGTCTTTAGACGCATTAGTTGACTTGCTGGTAGTTATGGAATTAGCTTTTGCGGTGGCTGTTCGACCTTTCTTCATAATCAGCTCAGTGGGTAAATTTAGTTTATTAACTTGCACAAATGACGGTTTACGACTGCGTAATAAAAGTTGTGTCAATGGCAAACTAATTGGAGATTTGCGCAATTGTTGCATTTTCAAAGATAGCGCCGCATTGGTAGAACGACCACGACGTGTCGTGTATCGTGTCTTATAGTGGTCCTTCTTTTTAACAAATTTATTGTGTGGTTTTTCACACGGTGTTTGATGTGTATTGACCATAGTCTTCATTTGTGCGACCAGACGAACGAATGCAGATTGATGCGATGGTGCAGTTATGATCGTACTCAATAAGGTAGAACTGCAATGGATATGTTTAAATTAGTTAATAGTAATATACGAAATTTAATTGTACTCTTTCTAACTTTGCAATAGTGAATTTTGATGTTTCAGAAATTAAGTGCAATTTTGAACGATAAATTTTCACAAAAAAAAAAAAATACAGCGAAAGAAAATTCTGGCTGAAAAATTTTACAAATTTACAGAAAATTTCAAAGTATACTGAGTTCTTGTACTCCTAGTTGTAATGGTTGAAAAGTACTTTATATGCAAAGGTGGAATCCAGCAATATTTGATTTTACAAAAAGAAACTACAGTCTTAAATATTATAGCCAATTTCATTACTATAACATTCAAGTCTTTAAACTGCAACGAATTCAGATATTTAACCTGCCAGGGATTGGGCCTTATCAGCATAGGCGAAATTTCATAACGTTGTGATGATATGTTTTTCCATTGTATTTTTATGAGAATACATTAAAAACCGCATAATATGTTATATACATATGTATATAAAGCCAAAACTGGTTTTATTGTTTTTAACTAACCTCACTGCTCAAACACTTCTGTCTATTTCTTTTACTGTATTTTCTGAATCGCTTTGTTTATGAATTTGCATTTGTCAAAAAAAAAAAAACTGAATGATTCGTAGATATAGATTTACCTTGGATTTGGCTTGAAAAGATGATATTTGAACGGATGTTTTGTATGCTCCACCCCCATTGCTTCGTCTTCGCTTATATCTTGCTCTCCTTCACTGCTATCTGCAACCAACTTCGAACAATCATCACAGTTCAAGTTCTTAATATTCGTCGCTAAACATGCTAAGGGAATTTTTATAGTTGCACCGCCTCGCGACTTGCTGCCACTAAAATTGAAAAATAGTAGAAGAATTTCTAATTACAGATACAACTTACCTTTTCCAACGCAATGTTGGTGCTGGCAAAATTGGCTTAAAATGGCACATCTCTTTGTTGATACTGTCCGTGCTGCTTGTTTCTTGGCGCTCTTGTGGGTAGCGATGTATTTTGGTGGGTGGGACGGTATTCAGCTTAAGTAATTTAGATGTGCTGGCTGCAATTGACGTCTTCACAATTGCACCACTTGATGTTGAGGGAGCTGTAGCTAAATCTGTAGTATATGTGGACTTACTGACTAAAGTCGGTTTTGCTGGAACTGCAGCGACAACTGATGATGCATGAATATGTTTTAAAGTGCCAACAACAGAGTTTATACTGTTAATTTTGTTGTTGTTGTTGTTGGTGCGAAAGCTAATGCTTGATGTATTGGTGGATGTCTTATTAGGATTGGTGGTATTACTGATAAGTGCTTTTTGCACAGTATCTTTTAAAAATTCAGTGCCACGATTGAGTCGTACTTGGATTGTTTTCATTAGCGTGGCGGCCGTGTTAGTGCTATTGTTGCTGTTAGTAGTCGTTGCAGTTGAGTTGTTGATGGTGCTCTTTGGTGTTGCAGATGTGTTAAGTAGACATGTCGTTGTTGTCTTCTTGGGCGCACTACTGCCGAGTAGAGAATACGTCGCTGTTTGCCCTGGTGTTGCGACCAGCATTATGGTGCTGTATTAGAGGAGTTGTGTTTATAAATGATGTGTAAGTACATTCCAGAAATAAAGACTCAATACTTTTGTAACTGTGAAAAAAAACGTAAAAACAAAATGTTTGGTATTTATTTGGACTAACAATATGTGAATTTTATTTTCAAAATATCGAGTTGTGAAAGATCAATTTTGTTATGTGAAATGCTAGTATTCACAAGCAAAGAAGCGACAAATACAATTACACTCCTCACACTCGTACCATTCAATTTACACGATATGTCCACCCTCTCTCTACCTTTGTGAAAATTTTCACATCACTTGTAACTTTTTTCTTCTTTTTTTGAAATTTACACTGTATTTTCGTTGGTCTGACTAAAAGCCGGATAGTCCATAATAGCCGGCTGCCTTTGGATGTTTCAACGTATGCAACTCATTTGATCACACAAAAATCTAATGGCTAATTTTTCATTCATAAACACCAGCTAATAGTCGTTTACGTAGAAGCCGATTTTTTTTACAATTTCACTATCTTTTACTATTTACTATACTCTCTACGACTCTTTACTACCGTATTTCGAGTAATTCTCCTTCTTCCTATAGGAAGGCAGAAAGACTCCTTTCAATCCGATAAATGATTTTGTCAATTCTTTCCTCACACACCGAGACTGAAGTTCTTAATACTCACATATTCCTCCCACAAATGACTATTACTTCCAATTAAAATGAAATTTTCAAATTACCTGTTCTTTATGAAATACTGCGATACCAATTTTTTTTTACTAATTTGTTTATAAATTTATTTACATTTGTTTTAAAACACTTTGTTAGCGGCAATTCTTTGTACACATTTCGCAGAGAATGCGAGTGCTGCCAAACTAAAATAAGAGCGGTGTTGCCGGAGTGCTGAATCACATAAGCAAATGTATAATTTTTCATGAAGTACTTTCTTGGCTTATTTAAGTTACTGGTATAAAGGTCGAAAATATGTGTGCCGCGGTATAACAAAATGTGCTATAAACTAGCATGAAAGTTATATTTGGTTTTATTTTATTAAAAAAGGACAACAAGAGAATACAAATAACTTTTTACAAGCCTCATGATCAGCCTAAAATTATGCATCCGTTTTTTATAGGAAACTATGCGTTCGATAATGCTTCAGTTAGTGACCGACGAAAAACCGTAGACCGCATCAGCTGATACGACCTATCTTATAAGTCGTTCTCACGACAGTTACGTAACCGGAACGGACCCGGATTTTTATCCGGCCAAGGACTGTCAACTCGGCAGAATTCTGCCGCTACAACAACAACAACAACAACCTATCTTATAAGAGTATGTAAATGAACACTCACCACCACTGTAGTTTTTTGTTATATATTTTTAAATTGACTAATCACAGTGATATACTTTTATTTATAAATAGGTAGACTATTTTTAATAGTTGGGTTTTCGTTTTGATCTTTTATATTATCTAAAATTATAATTTAAAAGCAAGATGTGTGAAAAAAAAGAAAACAACTGATTTCTACGTCGTCACTACAGGCATAGGTAGGTAGGTAGAGTGGCTGTCTAACGACGCACCTAGGCCTATGGGAGGCCCATTGTGATACCACCGGGACTACTGTTTCCTCACTCTATCGTCTCCTCTCTGAACCAACCTGTGTTCCTGATGAAGCTCATCAGTATAAATAATTTTATATTAGCAACTTCTGATACGTCGTCAAAAAATCCACGACCGATAGTTGCGATTCTTTTCCTGTATAGAGCTTTACATCCGCATAGAAGATGTTTTACTGTCTCCTCTTCTTCTACTTCTTGGCAGCTTCTACAATAGTCGTTGTAAGGTACACCTATCCTGCTGGCATGTCTACCAATTAGTCTACAAACATAACTTTTGACAAATTTTGTTTGATATGGGCGGTAAGTACAGCTGGTCGGAACGTCGGTCACCAACTGAAGCATATTAAGCCGTTGTTACTCGCGAACGCGTCCGTAGACCATACTACTATCCCGTAACACCTAAATCAGAGAAGGTTAATAAATTTGTTATGAATTGATTGAGTCGTTCTTGGTATTCTATACAGTTTGTATTATATACATGCACTTATGTTTCAATGAATATAATGTAAAGAAATATGAAATTCGTTCCAAATTATTTTGATTTTGAAATTTGGTTAGTTTTTTTGACCAGCTGACACGCTTCTACGGAAAAAGTTCAAATTGCCAATAATTTAAGCGGGTATAGACTGCATGCATATTACAGTGGTGAGTTTTCATTTGCTCGTGCTTCAGTAGTGCAACCCATTTTATTTGGTATACGAAAACTTAAGTCTATTTTCGAAAATAATAATATCAATAAACGGAGGCATGTGTCAGCTGTCACAGTCAAATTTATGAGAAATGAAAATTCACCACAGTGTATAACAGCAACATAGCACGACGTTTTTTTTACAACAAAGCCTCTCAAAGATTACTCCTCGTTTACTTTAATATATTGCTATAAAGTTTTTCACATTTGAACGTTTTTGGTGGTAACGTATGACATATAATAAGTCAATCATGTTTTGTCGGTAGCTTATATTATATTATATTATATTATATAAAAAGCAATCGTCGGAGTAGGATAGCGGACCGGAACTACATTTGTCTTAAAACTTTGAGAGTAGCGAATAGAACAAACAACTCGCATAAGTTAAGAATAATAGCAAAATCACTTAAATGAGGTTTTCTCGTACTGAATTTAACGAGACACGGTTATTGTTGTATGTAAAAGTATTCTTTTTTGAGCTAGTTAATTTGTATAGCAGAAGAGGTTCCTTAAGCTATGATGGTGGCATAACAATCTAATAAGTATATAATATATAAATGTAACATACATGCATACTCATTAGGGTTGGAATAGCAAATTAATGAGCTAATAAATGACTTTTGAAGGTTCATCAAATCGTTTGCGTTAATAAATTAAAAAATGTTGTTGCGCCTGTCGAACTGAGGATAATTATATTTAAGTTACATTTGTTATATGTATATACGCATACTTTATTGTTAGTTTGCGCTTAGGTGCTGTTGTCAGATGGTTTATTATACGATTTTCTATTGTTCTCATTTTTCTAACAAATAAATTTACCACAACAGCTGATCAATAATTATTTATGCGTACGATTGAGCAGCTAACTACAAGACGAAACGAAATTTAATGAAAAATTGTAAAAAACCAATTGCAACAACAGCAATAAAAAAAGTAAGAATCATTAGTTGTTGGCCCAAACAAAAATTCATCATCTTCGAACGCTACACATCAATTGAAGAGGCGAGGCGTCAAATTCATATTGAACCAAGACACCAGCACAGCACTCTGTTTAGTTATGGTTTCATCGCTGATCTCAGCTGGTAGATGCACATATGAATTCTCATATCGTGAAGAGAATGTGAAGTGTCCCACTGTGAATACAAATATGTTCATTCATATGTGTGTATGTGTGTATACACACATGGCTGATGGCGAAGGTGAAGACGCAAAGTGTTTTAACAATGGGGTTTTACAAATTTTTGGTAAATGTGATAAATGCATAGAAAAAATGTGTAACAACAATAGCTGACACAGCCAACAACTAATAATGCTTAATCAATGCTACACTTCACCAGTGAAGTAATAGCAAAACATGCTCAAACCACTTTCAAGTGAGTCGCTGAAGATGATAAAAAACGCATTGAAGAAGTAAGGTTTGGTGAACTACTGGCGAAAATGAACTGTAAATACACTAATACTAATTAAGAAAAGCGTTATATTTTTAGATATCTGCATAAATTTATCACAAAAAATAATCCTGAGAGTGATGCCTTCCGAAAGGACTTTTCAAATATGATCGAAGAATTCTTACACATATATGTATCTGTCGGGTAATCCGTGTAGTAGCTAATAGGATACATCGATAATTTTACTGAAATTAGCCGAATGAAGGAGTAACGCCAATCGTAAGCTCTAAAGCTTAATGATAATACTAATCAACTGTTCATTCGCTTCGTGTGGGATTATCAATCTTCCGAAATTCCGATGTTAAATTTTAAAATAGCACTTTGTATGTGCACAAATTATTTTAAAGCATTATAGATAAATAATAATGAAAATAAATAAAATGTTTATACTTTTTGTGCAACATGTTGCGAGAGTACAAAACACAAAAGAGTTTACGAATATATGTACATACATACATACTACATATTAGGGAGGGTCTAAAACCGAATATTTTTTTCGCTTGGTACTCTGAAAAAGAGGTTCTTAGACATCTCTAACGATTAAGTTAAGCGTTTATGAGTTGTCCATCGTCAACCATCAATGAAAAAATTAATAATAATAACAAAAAATTTAAAAAAAAAGAGAAAAAACGGTAATTTCGGTTGCACCGAATCTATAATACCCTTCACAAAAACGAAAAGTTTATTACATCTAACAATTTATTCGGAGAATGCATTATTATTATTATTTTTTTTTTAAATAATAATCCATGCTAAATTTTGTGAAGATATCTTGTAAAATGAAAGAGTTTTCCATATAAGCACTTGATACCGATTGTTCTATTTGTATGCCAGCTATGTGCTATAGTGATTTCGGCGGTTCCGACAAATGAGCAGCTACTTGACAAGCACAGTTGAAAATTTCAGATCGGTATCTTAAAAACTGAGGGATCAGTATGTATATATACAGACAGACAGACGGACATGGCTAAATCAATTGAGCTGATCATGCTCAGGTTTTACAAACTGCGTGGCAAATTTAATATGCCCTGTTCAGGGTATAAATATAAGAGACCATTTTTGGAGAGCATTAAATTTTTTCCAAAATCTATGATACGAGATATTTTTTCAAGTAGTTGGAAGCGAGATATGAATTTTTCTATCTGATAATAAGAATAAAATAGATAACTCTATGGCGGATGACCTACCCGTTACAATTAAGAGCTCATACTTGGAGAGATTCTCGTAGAGTTGTCTAAGAACATATTTTTCGGAGTACCAAGCGAAAAAATTAGTTTTTTTTTACCCACTCTAATACATAAATATAATCGTCCTTCGTCCAGCAATCTAATAATCCAATTTGGATACGACTGGATTGCTCGGGAAATTCTTAAATTGGTGGCATCCTCCAACAGGTGAATGCTATCAATGTGCCCATTGCAAATATGCAATCTTATGTGTGGTAGACCAGGATCTTATATTACATATTGTTCGCAACAATGTCGATTTTGAATTATGCAGTTGGTCAGATCGAAGTAAATTTTCATAAAGTTGTATTAGTTCACATTGAGCCTCCCAAAGGCCTAGGTATGCCATTCGACCTGCCTACCTTACATAAAATAACAGTAAGTGCATAATAGTTAGTTTTAATACTATTTTTTCCATTATTTGCAAATTTTCTCCGGCTGTGTCTTTCTCTGACTAAAAATTTTTTTCATCATAATGAAAATTTAATATCCAGTTGCGACCTTTATAAGTAAAACCACATCGTTGGTTAACAAAATGTTTATTTTAATTATTATAATAAATTCATAATTATTGAAAATGATTTAATTTTCTATTATACTAATATTTGAACATATTTTATAAAATAATAAGTATGTATCTGTATGTATAATAAACAATAACATATTATGTGGAAATACTTATTAATTAT